TTCAGCTAGTAGGGGCGGGAATTGGCAAACATTTGACAATTCCATGGTATGTGACAAATCCGATGCAACATTTTGGCCATAAATCCATATTATTGCAATTCTTAACATATGGCGATACACCAAGTATTTGCGATTAGATTCTGCGATATATTGCGATTCAAGTCCACCAGAATATTTTAAATCATTACAGAAATTGAGGAAAGTAACACTGCTAAACTCAAATGTCACATTTATTACGACTCTCACATGAACATAGAGCTCCCAGCATCACTTACATTATTCAAATACAACAGACTAGAGTCACAACAAGCAGACATCATAGAATCACAACAAGCAGACATCATAGAGTCACAACAATCAGACAGAGTTACAACAAGCAGACATCATAGAGTCACAACAACAGGCAGACATCATAGAGTCACAACAAGCAGACATCATAGAGTCACAACAACAGGCAAACATCATAGAGTCACAACAACATGCACACATCATAGAGTCACAACAATCACAGAGTCACAACAAGCAGACATTATAGAGTCACAAAACCTAGATATCATAGAGTCACAACAACAAGCAGACATCATAGAGTCACTACAAGCAGACATCACAGAGTCACAACAAGCAGACATCACAGAGTCACAACAAGCAGACATCATAGAGCCACAACAAGCAGACATCACAGAGTCACAACAAGCAGACATCATAGAGCCACAACAAGCAGACATCACAGAGCCACAACAAGCAGACATCATAGAGGAGCAGAAACATTAGATGTAAATTGCCTGAGGTAAAGTAAACAGATAATTATTTCACTAAATATCTATCTCGGGTCTCTCTCCACAGAACAGAGAGAGAGGCCATGGGTTTGGAGTCCAAAGCCTTAGACCAGGAGTCAGGGATGGATCCGTGAGTGAGAGTGGGGCCTGGTCTCTCCTGCGTCTCCAACAAGTCCAGACAAGTCCCCAGAGAGTCATCCACAGTGACCCCCCACTGAACCATCCCCGGGACAGTCATAGCCCTTTCAACATCTGACCCGGAAACACGCCGACTCATCATCCGCCGCTCTGTCCTCATTAAAACACACGTCACAGCACACGCAACGCAACCATCCCAGGTAACGCAACAGACCAGAGAGGGAGAGACCAGAGGGAGAGAAAACAGACAGACCCCAGAGAGAGACCAGAGACAGACCCCAGAGAGAGAGAGACCAGGGACAGACCAGGGACAGACCAGAGACAGACCCCAGAGAGAGACCAGAGACAGACCCCAGAGAGAGAGAGACCAGAGACAGACCCCAGAGAGAGAGAGACCAGAGACAGACCCCAGAGAGAGAGAGACCAGGGACAGACCAGGGACAGACCCCAGAGAGAGAGAGACCAGAGGGAGAGATACCAGAGACAGACCCCAGAGAGAAAAACCATAGAGTGATCAGCGAGAGAGACCATTGAGAGTGATCAGAGAGAGACCATAGAGAGTAATCAGAGAGAGACCATAGAGTGATCAGAGAGAGTGATCAGAGAGAGACCATAGAGAGTAATCAGAGAGAGACCATAGAGAGTAATCAGAGAGAGACCATAGAGAGTAATCAGAGAGAGACCATAGAGTGATCAGAGAGAGACCATAGAGAGTGATCATAGAGTAATCAGAGAGAGACCCATAGAGAGTAATCAGAGAGAGACCATAGAGAGAGAGGTAATCAGAGAGATCAGAGAGAGACCATAGAGAGTAATCAGAGAGAGACCATAGAGAGTGATCAGAGAGAGAGACCATAGAGAGTGATCAGAGAGAGAGACCACAGAGAGTGATCAGAGAGAGAGACCACAGAGAGTGATCAGAGAGAGAGAGCATAGAGAGTGATCAGAGAGAGAGACCATAGAGAGTGATCAGAGAGAGAGACCAGAGAGTGATCAGAGAGAGAGAGCATAGAGAGTGATCAGAGAGAGAGAGACCATAGAGAGTGATCAGAGAGAGAGAGACCATAGAGAGTGATCAGAGAGAGAGAGAGAGAGCATAGAGAGTGATCAGAGAGAGAGAGAGACCATAGAGAGTGATCAGAGAGAGACCATAGAGTGATGAGAGATAGAGAGAGATGAGACTAGAGAGCGAGACATTTTTATCATTACAAACGAGAAATGGACATGACATTTTTGTATCTACTTAACAGCTCATGTATTGAAATCTGTACACAGAGCAGTTTATAATTTATTGATTACTAAAATGGCTGGTAATTGTGATTAAAGCTGAGATACGCAACTTTCAAACCACAATAATAGAACTATGTTGTAAATAGTTCCTGAACCTAAAACAGTTTTCACATGCACTTCTAGCACATCTTTGGATAAGCTTTTTCAGTCAGAAAATAGAAAAGACCACCCTCACTTCGGCCAATCAGCTCACAGCCCGACATATATGAGGTTTAAGTTGTTCATAATAATCAATACATACATCTCTAAGGATCGCACACATCAGTAATCCTGAGTACTTTGTGACCTTTCACCTGGGACATTAAGAGAAGGATCAGAGAGAGTCCAGAGAAAGACCACAGAGAGAGACAAGAGAGAAGGACCAGAGAGACCAGAGAAAGACCAAAGAGAAGGACCAGAGAGAGACCAGAGACAAGGACCAGAGAGAGACCAGAGAGAAGGACTAGAGAGAGACCAAAGAGAAGGACCAGAGAGAGACCAAAGAAAAGGACTAGAGAGAGACCAAAGAAAAGGACCAGAGAGAGACCAAAGAGGAGGACCAGAGAGAGACCAAAGAGAAGGACTAGAGAGAGACCAAAGAGAAGGACCAGAGGCAAGGACCAGAGACAAGGACCAGAGACAAGGACCAGAGAGAGACCAGAGAAAGACCAAAGAGAAGGACTAGAGAGAGACCAAAGAGAAGGACCAGAGAAAGACCAAAGAGAAGGACCAGAGAGAGACCAAGGAGAAGGACCAGAGAGAGACCAAGGAGAAGGACCAGAGAGAGGGACCAGAGAGAAGGACCAGAGAGAGACCAAAGAGAAGGACAAGAGAGAGACCAGCGAGAGACCAGAGAGAGACCAGAGAAAGACCAAAGAGAAGGACTAGAGAGAGACAAAAGAAAAGGACTAGAGAGAGACCAAAGAGAAGGACTAGAGAGAGACCAAAGAGAAGGACTAGACAGAGACCAAAGAGAAGGACTAGAGAGAGACCAAAGAGAAGGACTAGAGAGAGACCAAAGAGAAGGACCAGAGAGAGACCAGTGAAAAGGACCAGAGACAAGGACCAGAGACAAGGACCAGAGAGAGACCAGAGAAAGACCAAAGAGAAGGACTAGAGAGAGACCAAAGAGAAGGACCAGAGAGAGACCAAGGAGAAGGACCAGAGAGAGACCAAGGAGAAGGACCAGAGAGAGGGACCAGAGAGAAGGACCAGAGAGAGACCAAAGAAAGACTAGAGAGAGACCAAAGAGAAGGACCAGAGAGAGACCAGCGAGAGACCAGAGAGAAGGACTAGAGAGACCAAAGAGAAGGACCAGAGAGAGACCAGCGAGAAGGACCGAGAGAGACCAGAGAGAAGGACCGCAGAGAGGGACCAGAGAGAAGGACCAAAGAGACCAAAGAGGAGGACTAGAGAGAGACCAGCGAGAAGGATCAGAGAGAGACCAGAGAGAAGGACCAGAGAGAGACCAAAGAAAGACCAAAGAGAAGGACTAGAGAGAGACCAAAGAGAAGGACCAGAGAGAGACCAGCGAGAGACCAGAGAGAAGGACTACAGAGAGACCAAAGAGAGACCAGCGAGAGACCAGAGAGAAGGACCAGCGAGAAGGACCAGAGAGAGACCAGAAAGAAGGACCGGAGAGAGACCAGCGAGAGACCAGAGAGAAGGACCAGAGAGAGACCAGATAAAGCAGAGATGAAGCCACCAGAAGATTTTCCCTCAAAACATTAAATAAAAACCTTTTTACCATAAACAAGAGAAAAGTATGTGATTTTGACTCTAAATCACAGCTTACATCACTGTGTTGAAATCTGTACAGTGTCATAGATAGTGTTAATGATTTACATATTAAAACCACTAAACTATGGAACTATGTGATATAATCCATGCTATTAATAGTTCCTGGTCCTAAAACATATTTCAGAGAACATATAGACAGAAAAGAGAAAAGGAGAGGACCAGACTCACTCTTTCTTTCACAGAATTTCTACTAAGATGAAAGCAACACATTACTTTTACAGGACTTTTTGTTGGAACGTACTACATGTGCTATTTATGAAAGCAAAAACAAGTTAGGTTTCCCAGCTTTAATCAGATAACGAAGAAATGAAGATGAGATGTAGGAGCACAAATAACACAAATAGTGAGGTTTGTGTTATTTAACCCTTTTTTATTTTATATTTTAGGCCCTTTTCTCTACATAGTTGAGATTCAGTTTGACGGTAAAAGAGTCTAAACCAAAGTGAGATGCCCCAAAGAGTGAGATTTTAGTTTCAAGCTTCAAGTCTACCAAATAGTTAAAGAAACCATTAAAGGGTTAAATGCGATTAATCGATTACGGGTAACAGCCTTAAACCATCCACTAATCACCAAGCCGATTAAACGCATTCTTAACCCTACAACTCCCAGGGCAGTCATTTTGACGGCTTTTAGTTCTGGTTGTGTATGTATTTACTCGGCTCATATATAACTTTTTAGTCTTCATAACTTCTCAGAAACTCTCAGAATTCTATTGATTGGAATGGGAGCAGTCAATATGACGGCTCTGGGATTCATAGTAGTTTCAGATTTCTGTCAGTACTTGTGTTAATCTTTAAAGCAACATTTTAACTTTTTGGGGCAAACCAACGAGCTTAGCAACAACAAGCTAAAAACACGCTGCTGTTTTCTTTCGATTTAAAACAGAGACAACATGTGCATTTCTCAAACAATAACAACAACGGCTGATTGTGGTGGGGATGTTAAAAAGGGAAACTTACAAGTGTTTAAATGTGTGAAATCAAGTTAAAAATGTGTAAAAATAGCGTGTTTTTCTACCTTCTCCGTGAATAGTCCGAAGACGGCCAGCAGCAGAAACACGCTCCTCATGGCTACTCCGACGGAAAACACACAAAAAGCGACGAAAAAGGGCTGGAAAAGTTAAGCAATATGTGGAGTTATAAAGTTTCCCTGAGGCTGTGTCCGCTGTGTCGTAAATCACAGTGTGTCCTGGGCTCGCCTCGCAGTGATCTGACTCGGCTCCGGTGTGAAAAGTGTGTGGTGTTGGAGTTTGTTTGGTCTGCAGTCTGAGCGGAACCAGCGTGATGCGTGATGACGTCAGCAGCCAGTTCATTGATGAAAGCTTTGGGGAGTGTCTTCTACGTGTCCTTGGTGGATGGATGTGCCCGTGGGTGTGAATGTATTAAAGCTCGGGGGCGTAACTTTCAAACCACAAATAATACAGGTAATAATTAATGTCGCTGGTTCTTTGTTCGTTTTTTGATCAGATTAAGTCAGCGCCTCTACTATTACTACATTCATTGTGGCATCATTAAAAACACATACTTTATATATTTCATTTTTTTTTTTGCTCACCGAAATTGTTTTTAAAATGACCAATTATGTGCCACCATTGTTCTCTGGTCTGGCTCTCTCAGACCTCACACTAAAGCCTCAGTCTGTGTGGTTCTGTTAACCCTAAAGACTCAGAGGGGCTGTGTGGATGTACTGGTTCAGAACCTTCTCCTCTAATGGAGCCATACTGTGGAACGCTCTTCCCACTGACGAACACTGTAAAACTGACTGAAATCTCTTCACCCGAGTTTGAAATCGAAGTAAAGTTGAACTTATTTAATGAAGTGTAAATTGTAAAGTTAATGTGTGTCCAAGAAGCCTGGAAGGGTTGAACATTCATGGTTAAAGGAAGTGCTGCTCTGTTGAATGTAACCTCTGTCCATATCAAATAGACTGTTTCTGACACGATTAAAATTGGACAAAAAACAACACAATGTAGATTCAATAATCAAACATGTACTTTAAAATGCTGTTACATTTAAAACTCTAAAACAGATTAAATCACAGTGGACGTTAGAGGTAAGTTAAACTTTCATTTGGTATTTCATGTTTTAGAAAGTGAAATAACAAAGTATCTACTTAATAAATACGAACATACAGCTGAGCCAGAGATTTCATTGTTTTGAAATTTTTGGGATTTATATTGGGAAGAGATGACATCAGCTTAGCTTTCATGGCATTAAGAAGCTGATTTGAATGTGAGCTAGCTGTAGCCAATTTCCTAATATTGGAGTTTGTTCCGACGGTGTTAGCTTTGGGCTGTGACAGGGGCAGACCTGTTGCTCACACGGTTGCTAAAGCAAGCTCGAGTTTCCCCCAATGATGAAGGCATCTGATTGGTCAATCCTTATATGGCTCATATCTGAATTTACAAAGATAATATCACAATATAAGCACCAGGATCACAGAGAGCACTGAACCACAGATTTTTTTTTGCCCAAAATGGTGAGTGTGACACAAACAGTTACTGAGCTAAAGGAAATCTATCATTTGAACATAGAAAATATGTTTATTTGACAAGAAATGGCTCCACAGAACCACTAACAATGATTAAAAATGGTGCGATTAAAAGTAGAAAACAGCTCTGTCCAGGACGTCATACGTCTGAGGTTGAAAGCAGAGCCTTTTGACAGAAGGGGTGGGGCTTTGCATTATCCCAGAAGTTCCTGACATTTGTAACATGGTTAAAAGTGAAATAAAGTCACGTCTGTGCATATCGTGTCTGCATAAAGTGTCGAGTCCAGCAGCAGGAACATGAAGCCTCATCTGAGACCTCCTCCTTTCAGGTTTCTCTTCCAAACTGGAGGAATCTGTCAGAGAAAGAGGTTCACGATTACAGATCTAAATTACAGATCGAATACTATGCAGAAGATGTAGTTACCAATGAGGGCTCTAGGTGGCGCCCCAAAAATGAAAGCAGTCGCCTCCAGATTAAGCCGCTGCCCAGAAACATGAAGCCAGTGACGAGCCAGAACACCCGGGGGTCCTGCACAGACAGACAGAGGGGTCAAATGAGAATACAAAAATACTATGCGTTATTTAAGAGAGAAGAAACCAGTCATGTGAACACTAGACTCTTAACTTTTCCCTGTGCTTTCTTTTTTGTAGTGTTTTATTTTTTTATATTTTATTGTTTTCTATGTTGTCATTTACTAAGTATTTTCCTGCCTTGGGACTACGGATGAAAACTAGCTTGGTAGCTATAATCCGGCATATTTACATTTGTTTTAGACTGGTGTTCATTCATGTGCATTGTCCCTATCCTATAATTATGTAAAGAGTTTTAGAATGTTTTTAGAATGTGAAATAATATTTAGGGTAAAAAAAAAGCTTTCCGTCTGTAACTCTTTGTGCTGCCAACAGAAGGAGGAAGAGAATTGATTATGATTTTTTTCTTTCTTTCTAATGTCCAAACCGTGGATGGATCTAAAAACAACTCCAGGTCTGTGACTGTTGAGGAACACTGTCTATTTTTGTTCAAAGATTGTCATTATATTTCTCCTATAAGCCGATTTAGACGCTTGCTATTTGGCTTTGAAAAAAATAGATAAATCCTCTATTCTACAACTGCAAAAATGAAATATGTGTGGAAAATAATATCTGAGGATTTGGCATTTGTTTTGGTGTTTAAGATGGAGAGGTTGAATTGTTCTTTTGAATGACTAAATCCAGATACAAAACAGTACTAAAAACAGTTCAGTTTCAGGTAGTGATGTGCTGAGCGGACCGAGTCTTCGAAGCGTGGACCGAGTAATCTGGGGGCGTTTCTTGTGAAGTGTGGGTCGAGGCGTGTATTGGTCACGTATGTGGTGACGTTCGAAGCCTCGCGTAGCGGCCGCACCACGTGACGGTTCATATAGTGCTTCATATAGTTCGGAGAGTGCGTTGCTTTGACAGGTGCTTTGTGATCCGCGGCTGTACCATAGACTGTATTGGATGTCCCCGTCTGCCTCTGTGTGCGTACGTGTGTGTGCGTACGTGTGTGTGCGTGATGTGGAGCAGTCCTGTACTAAGTATAGAGAAACTACTTCATATGAAATACAATTAAAAACTTTTCACTTTAGTAAAACCTCATATATCAAGGCTTCAAGTTATTAGTAATAATACGCTGGATAATACATTTCACAACAGCTGTGTGGCGCAGTCGGTATATGACGGACTCCGAAGCAGAAGATATAGCGTTCGAATCCTGGTCTACCCATAATAAATTTTGTGTTGCAAAGTAAATGTATTTATTTATTGGGAATAAATGGTTTGTTGTGTTTAATCAATCCACCTCTTGGTAGTTTTTCCTCCATTAATCACTTTCTGTAGAACTGTATTACTTCGGATGTGTTTGTTGTATCAACACAATTGACTGAAAGACTCAAATAGTTCATAGTTCATGAAGCATCATTTCAAACACAACACGTTAGACCATAGATTGTAAATATACATTTTAGCATTAGATCTCACCATTCATTGTAAGCACTTAAGAGTGTTATGTATTTCTTTGTCCACATGATGGCGTAGTGGAGCATGATTCACCTCGAGCCTTCGACTCATGGGCCGAGTAATAGGCTGCGATCCCTCAAGGCTTCATGGGGCTTCATATTGCCATCACTAGTTTCAGGGACTTGAAGCCTAGAGTGGCCTGGTTTGAGTCCGATACTTTACACCTCCAGGATATTTTAGTTTAGTTTTGGTTTATTACATGCCTAAAAAGTCCTGACACAACTCCAGCATTTGAGATTATCTGCATATTTCACAGGTAAAGCTGAAGATAGCTGTGCATGCGGATTACATTGAGTAAAAGAGGCAACAGCGCCCCCTGGAGGACACCAGTGGAATGCAATCTGGAGAAGCCCCGTTGTTACCGAGCAATAGGGGGCGCCAAATCTGCATCTCGGTTTGTGCTTTGAGGATTGTTGAATGAAACACTGGGAGATGATTTGCTCCTTTCAGAGAGCCCTAACTTTAAAGCTGGGGTACCTAACTTTCAATCACAAAAATGTATGTAATAAAATCACTACCTTGGCCTGGCGCTTAATCAGTTTGCTTCTATCACTAATTTTTACATTGATATTAAGTTGAAAAAATCCTTTATTCCTCCCACAGTGGGGGAAATGTCAGTGTTGCATCACCAGTAGGAATGAGAAACTCTATTGTGCTAAAGTTAGAGACTTTATTAATTTTAGTAAAATTAAGCAAGTAAAGTATGAGTGTGATCATTTTCGAGCTGAATTTTTGTTAATAAAACAAAACATACTGTATATGTGTTGTATTGTTTATTTGTTTTGTTTTTCTTTCTATTCTGTCGTTTTGTTGCTGTTCTTTGTTCTTGTCTGCCATGGCTCGAAATAAAAGAATTAATTCATTCATTCATTCAAGTATAAAATCTAAATAAAGAAGCAAGTATAAGAATAAAGTAATGTATTTTTGGCCTCTGTCATAACATTAGATCAGTTTTTTCAGACGGAAAAGTCAAAAAAGTGGACCACTCTCACTCAGCCAATCAGCTGTCAGCCCAAAGAGTCAAATAGTGACTCATTATTCGCTCTAAATTATTGTCTAATAAGATGAAGACAGCAAGTGGTTCATTTTACTGATTCTTTTACCAGGCTCCTTCTGTGGGACAGAAAGTTAGGTTCCCCATTGAGGTTAGGTTAAAAACATTATTGAAGTGAGTGAGAGAAGTGAGAAACACCTCTTCAAAGGACGACTCCAGGTTCATGCCGAAGGCCACTCCGATCAGACCGAACAGAGACAGGGAGAAGGTGCCCATGGTCAGCTGTAGGTTCAGCCGCATCATGGTGTTGCGATGGCTGCGGGGGAGAGAAACAGCTCCACAGTAATGATGCCATTTTAAGATAAGATAAGATATTCCTGTATTCGTCCCACAGCAGAGAAAGAAGGAAATAAGATTGCACACATCAAATAGAGTATATTATTTAAGATAATAGACAATATAATTAAACAACAAAAAAAAAAAGCTATAATGGAGCTATAATTGCACTTGGTTCAGAAGTACAGTATATACAGATGTGTATAGTAAGTAAGTAATTAATTTCAATTGAACTTATTCTTGTATCGCCAAAAATCACAACAGTAGTTATCTCAGAGTATTTTACACAGCCATTAAATTTTCCGACAAATGAAACCGTTCAAACACAAGAAATGCATCGATATAGAGCCATTGGTCCATAAGGGGCAGAGACCGATGGAGTGAGTACCAAACACCATCTCCTGGTACTCATCTGAGAACCTCACTGAAAAAGTTATGTGCATCCCTGCCTATTATTATATTATAACAGCACTGACCTGTCCAGATTGATGAAAATGACACTTTCAGAATCATCGATGAGCCCCTTCAGCTCCCTGGACTTGTTCCCGAGATCCTCAGCCTGAAACCACACAGAACCAGTAAGTGCTCTACTGAAGAAATACTCTTCAATATGCATTTGTCAGATTTAACTTGTGTATTATTTCAAGACCTCACATTACACCTGTGTTAAAGACCTCACATTACACCTGTGTAAAAGACCTCACATTACACCTGTGTTAAAGACCTCACATTACACCTGTGTTACTGACCTCACATTACACCTGTGTAAAAGACCTCACATTACACCTGTGTTACAGACCTCACATTACACCTGTGTTAAAGACCTCACATTACACCTGTGTAAAAGACCTCACATTACACCTGTGTTAAAGACCTCACATTACAACTGTGTTACAGACCTCACATTACACCTGTGTTAAAGGAATAGTTCACCGTTTTTACATACTGACATATGTTCTTACCTTACCTTAGACTAGTTAATACGTACCTGTCTGGTCTTAGTCCGTGCGCTCTGTCATGCAAACGGAGCAAAAACGGGAGCACAAACGCAGCCTCCTCTGTATACTGTATAGGACCCAAAAGGTAGCTCCCGCTAGAAGCTACCAAACTCTTCCAAGTGTTCCCTATTAAATGTATATAGTTACGTGACGTGTTACACTGCAAAGTATAGTAACACAGAAATGTAACAGTCGATTTTCTCAGCGGATAAAACGGGTACTATATTGTGAAGCGTAGTAATCTGAGGAGCGCTACGTCCGCACACTAACTTCTCTCCGGAGACTTCTCTCTCGCTCACTTCCGTCAATAGAAGCAGCGTGACTTGTAGTACGGAGAGAAGTTAGTGCGCGGACGTAGCGCTCCTCAGATTACTACGCTTCACAATATAGTACCCGTTTTATCCGCTGAGAAAATCGACAGTTACATTTCTGTGTTACTATACTTTGCAGTGTAACACGTCACGTAACTATATACATTTAATAGGGAACACTTGGAAGAGTTTGGTAGCTTCTAGCGGGAGCTACCTTTTGGGTCCTATACAGTATACAGAGGAGGCTGCGTTTGTGCTCCCGTTTTTGCTCCGTTTGCATGACAGAGCGCACGGACTAAGACCAGACAGGTACATATTAACTAGTCTAAGGTAAGGTAAGAACATATGTCAGTATGTAAAAACGGTGAACTATTCCTTTAAAGACCTCACATTACACCTGTGTTACAGACCTCACATTACGCCTGTGTGTGTGTCTGAGAGTGTTCAGAAACCTCACATTACACCTGTGTAATTACATTGTATTTCTACCTGCATGTAATAATTCTCCAGCAGCAGCTCCATCTCCTCTGCGTGGTCGATGCCCAGACTGCTCTCCTCACTGCGGTTAAACAACACAAAACATAAAAGATCACCAACCAGAGGAAGCAGCTCATCACTAGCAGCTGTTCCATCTCTGCTGCTGTGACCTACTATTAATAGTAACTTTTAAAATTATGTATTAGCACTGTCAAACAAATAAATAAATGATAAACAACATCATAACACATACAAGACTCTGGGATCGGTCCACTTGGTCAGACAAAGCTCCTCGATCATCTCGTCTTCGTCCAGGATCTTCAGCAGTGACTCTTTGAACACTTTAATGTCCGTCTCAAGCTCAGACAAACTGAAAGTGAAAGTAAAATGATGATTAATGGGTTATAAATATCACATAAATAAATAATAACGGTAAAAACCTCTTGCTGTTCTGAAGAAGCACGTGCAGTTTGCTTCGATCCGCAGAGAGAAGCTTGGGGTCCACCAGAGACTCCAGCGTGTCCAGGAGGACCGGCTCCAGGTCGCTCAGTCTGGTCTGGAGAGCATTCACCTGAGGCACACAGATAGGAAAGGCAAGTTTATTTGTATAGCACAGTTCATACCCTGGGCAACTCAAAGTGCTGAACAGAACAAGATAGAAACACTCACACAAGGCATTCAAATCACATATAATCAATACAGATACAGTTTAACAAGAACTAGCCTCTGTTTTTCACCAGTGTTGAAATGTTATGTCCACCCAGGGCAAGAGTCCAAACTCACCGAAACACATGATGAGAAACTTGTCTTAGTTCGTTATAATGTGGGTCTCTCTCTCGCTCTGCTCTTTCTGCTCGGTCTCTCTCTCCCTCTGCTGTGACAGAAGACTAAACTAAACTAAGACTAGTCTAAACTAAACTTGAAAGTGGGCCGTTTGCTTTAACCTTTTTATTTTGTCATGTTCCTGAATGTGGTGAAAAGCCGATGCAGGTCTGAACAACACATTTTCTTCTGTGTGTGCTTTATATTTTTCACGTGTTTTAACTGTTGATTCTCTGATCTGTGTTGGTGATTTCAATGGTTTTGTTAAGTCCCCTGAGATGACTATACAAGAGGGCTATACAAGAATAAATTGTATTGTATTGTATTGTAACACGCCAACGTTTCCCACTGTAGAAAAGCCTGGTGTCCACTGACCCTGTGCTGCAGAATGGCCTCCAGAGCCCTGAACTCGAAGGGCAGAGGGTGAGTCTGAGAGCAGAGCTGAGGGGCCAGCTCCAGGACCAGCCAGCGCTCCAGACCCACTCCACGGAAGTCCAGGACCTGCAGAGTGTCCAGGGTCACGATGGCCTTCAGGGCCTGAGGACACAGAACAACAAGAGTACTCTTTAATACTGCTAATACTGCTACTACTGCTACTGCTGCTGCTTCTACTGCTGCTGAGCAGTGTTGGGAGTAACACATTACAAAGTAACGCAATAAACTAACAAAACTACTTTTTCCAGGGAAAATTAAAGTAACGTGTTAACTACTGACAATATAGTAACGTAACGCTGTTTCTTTTTTGATTCCCCGGAGTGAGAGCTGTGCTCATGACAACAACTCCATGTGCACATGCTCTGTGGTGTTTTTGATCAGAAAGAGCATGAAATAAATATCTGTGGATCTTCATAGTAGAACTTCCACAACACATTTAAGAACAGTTCTGTTCAAAGTCAAGCATAAAAACAGTAACACAGAAGAAAAGTAAAGAAGTTACTTTCTTTAGAGAATAAGTTAAGTAACAGGTTACTTTTTAAAAGAGGTAACGAGTAATGAGAAAAGTTACTTTTTAAAAGTAACTTTCCCAACACTGCTAATGAGGACACAGAAGAACAAGAAATGTTTTTAATACTGATACTGAGGAAAGGAAAAAGAACAAGAATAGACATTACTACTACTGCAGTACTACTACTGCTGCTACTACTGTTACTACTATTTCTCAGATGAATATACGTTCTTTACAACTGTGTGGCTGTAAAAAATTTGATATTTAAATTTTCTTTTGGAGTTGTTTGGAGTTGCAACGCAAAATAACATAAGTGAATATTAAATACAATTTAATATTCACTTATGTTATTTTGCGTTGCGTGTTCCTCATCCCTACTGTTCTGTAACTTGTGATGCAACACTGAATCTTTATATTTTAGCAGTTGCAAAATCCATGCTAACCAGTCCTGGACCTTTATTACACAGATCACAACTAAACTAATAATAACTGGTTCTCCTCCTGCTTGTTTGTCTCACTCCGACCTCTCACCGTTCAATATTTGGGAGCAAAGTTTTAAACACGAGTTTCTTCAGGCTTAAATCACTTTTGCTGCTGGACTTTTGCAGAAGCAACAAGAAGGACACCAGGTAACACACTTTGAACTGGAGCAAACTCAGCAGAGAGATGGAGGCGGTTATGAGCTTAAAAGCAGGTTAAAGATGTGGAACTTATATGTACTGGACTTATATACAGTATTTAAATGTGTCCACTGTAGAAAAAAAAAGGTTTATTTGCACACTAAACAAGAGCTATTGGAAAATCTGTTCTCTGTGACATTTAGTACAGTACTCTTATGTGACCACCACAGGGAGAAGTTAAACTTTTAATATTACAACCAGTGGTGGTTAGTTTCAGCTTTGGTGGGGACAAAAATCAATTTGTTTTAAATGCGGCTTTCAAAAAATAGCACAGATTTGTTTTTATCTCTGGCTTCCTCGGTGTTACAGAAATACAGATACAGATGCATTAACATTATTGCCTCAGTATGAGGCGGCTGTGGCTCTGTGTTCTGGGGAGTGTGCTGTGTGTCTACGGGGCCAGGGACAAGGGCTGCCTCAGGTCGGCCTCCACCTGTGACCAGTGCCTCAACGCGGGTCCAGACTGCGGCTGGTGCATGAACCGCAGAGGAGGCTGCAACACCGCAAAGCGCCTGCAGAGGGGGGGCTGTTCCAGAGTATACAACCCCAGAGGAGAGCTAACCATCACCAGGTATGAAGAGTGTAGAGACTGTAGGGTCTGGCCGAGTGCTGATGCAAGGAAACTCAAATAGGCGTTTGCTGTAAGTTACTGAAAGAGCAGGGTTTGAGAAGGATGTGGTGGGGCCGAGCAGGCAATGTTTTGTTTGTTCGTCTTTGTCATTTTTATTTTTATGTACTACAATATGTAAGTTTTGTTGGTAGCAATAGCAGAGTTACCAAATTTTAAAAATGCTAAATATAGTTGTTTAGTCAGTTGTTTTGGCTCATATCTAGTATTAAATCACAATCAAAACACCAGATTCATAACCCATGGATTTTCTAAGCCCAAAATGGTGAGTGTGACGTAAACAATTACTGAGGAGTTTATTCTTCAATGTAAGTCGATAGGAGCCACAACGAGTTGGATCAAAACTTCATCCATGAGCACTTCCCTTGGGGCTTCAATGAGCTACCGGGTTTGCATTGTCCATCTGTAAACAGTTTTTTTAGTGTTGGACGATGACCGGTGTTTGAGTATCAAAGGGGACATTAGTCCCCTGACATGAGTCATTTACAGGGCCTTGAAAAAGTGTCCATACCCATATTCATATAATGTACTTGGCATATTTCTTTAACCATAAAACAAAGATTTGTTTTTCATGTTTTACCATTTTTAAAAAAAAAACAAAAACAAAGTGGCAAACAACTGTATGTATTTGTATCATCTTCACATCCACATTGTCCACCACTGATATTCTGCTCATTCATGGAAGATAATTGTGTTTTATTGTAGAAATGAACCGGCAGATGGACGTTCTATACAACTGGAGCCTCAGGAGATGTCTGTAAGCTTAAGACCAGGGGTAAATCTGCTTTTCCCGATAAAAGTCCGCACACAGGAGCCACTCCTGCAGCTGGAGGCCTCTGGAGCTCCCGAGGGCCTCAACATCACCTTTAGGAAACGGACGGCCACGGACGGTCCAGTCTTTGAGGTAAAAATAAGTTGGTCACAGTTTCTTCAATATTTACAACATATTTGCCCTTCCTTGTAGTTCGTAGAGTTGGGGGGAAAAAAAATTCTGTTCAGTATCGCGATATTTTGTGCACACAATTAAATCGATGCAGTAGAGCAAAGTATTGTGATGTTCAATTATATGTTTCACTTTCATAATTTCCATCTGAGGTTAATGTTCCTGTATGACGTCTGCTTGTTCTGAATATATAAAGAATAAGTAAAGCTGGGAGCTCACTTCATGTGAGAGTCGTCTATTCAGAGAATAATAATGGTCCTTGTCCTGAATGTTCAAGAATAAAGTCTGTTTCTTGTGTAAAACTAAAGAAGCAAGAAGCAGTTTCTGCCACTGTACTCCTTGTAAATGTAACAACCTTGTTCTTTTCTTTAGACGTTTAGATGAATCTCTTGTCTTTGTTAATCCCTTTTTGTAATGAAATGTGCTCTATAAATAAATGTCTTTCTCCTACTGAGATTTAAAAGTGTTTTATTTGTGTTCAGGTGAGTCTGAAGGTGGAGGAATGCCCTCCGCAGAACCAGACAGGGCCCTGGTCTGTCCACATCAGACCCAGTGGGTTTTCACACGGTGCTAAAGTGGAGATAAACGTGGACTGTGAGTAATGAACATAAAATGTAAAATCTTCATTCTAGGGCTGCTTCACTGGTCTTCAAACCAGTGAAGCACCAAATGTTCTGCATGGGTCATTAGACCTGGAAGGGCTATAACTGGAAGTGATATTCTAAAATAATAAGTTATCTTTTCAAACGTGCATACAACAGACAAAAACAATAACAGGCTGCAGTGTGAAAGGGGGATGGATGAAGATTTAGCATTTTTGACCCAACCCAGATTCCAGCCAGCAAACAAAACACGCCCGCCTGTCAAATCAAATAATAAGACATTTGCTGAGCTGCACAGTGGCTGAGTGGTTAGCTTTCTGGCTTCTCAGAGTTTAAACTGAACCAGAGTAGATTTGTAGAGATGGTTCAGGCGTGTGTCATGTGTGAGCAGGTGGCTGCAGCTGTCTGGACCGTCCTGAGCCTCACAGTCCTCACTGCTCTCTCCACGGCACCTTCACCTGTGGCCTGTGCACCTGCGACCCTCTCTACGTCGGTGCCCGCTGCGGGACACATGTATCCAGGTTTATCTCAAGTTTAAAATGCTTTTATGTGTATTTATTATTGTTCTTTCTTCTTTCATTAAGTTCAACTGAACAGTAGTAATGAGTAAAATGTGATTTTTCAAATGGAATCCAAGTCACTCACTGAACAAAATGAGACCAAATGAAACATACAGGAGTGGTCAGAAATAGTTAGATTGTGCAGTTGTATATACTGCCATATCCTTGCTACCACTTGGGTAGTGTGGGGTAAGTGGGGTAAGTGAGTAGAGCTTCAGAGGGCGGGCTTGAATGACCTGATATAGTTCAATAGATCTTTATTTTATGAAAACTAACCTGTCATATGTGCTGCAAGAAGTGATATATTACTATAAATCTATTACTATCTCCTATCCTTCTTTAAAGTCTGGAGGAGGACGCCAATGACCCTGAGGCCCCATGTCGAAAAGGCCCTGGCGCCCCTGTCTGCAGTGGGAAGGGCCTTTGTGAAGACGGATACTGCGTTTGTAATGAACTCGAGAATTCAAGCGGGAGATTCTCCGGCCGCTTCTGTGAATGCAACAACTTTGAATGTCCGCTACGCAATGGCAGGTACACAAGTCTAAAGATTCACAGGTTCAAAGTGTGTAAGGAGTGGATTGACCGAGTGCTGACGTCACCATAGTGTTTGCCAAGCACAAAAGAAGCTGATTTGAACATAAGCTAGTTGGAGCCAATTTTCTTATGTGGGCATTTGAGCTGAAGAGGGAAGTCTGGCCGTCTCTGCTTAGACTGCTGCCCTGTGACCCAGCAACGGATAAAGCGGAAGAAAAAGAATAGATGTTAAAAGTGCCACTGAGCCTGTGTAGTAAACATGTGTTCTGTGTGTCCCAGTTTGTGTGGAGGCCAGGGCGACTGTGAGTGTGGCCAGTGTGTGTGTATGAACGGCTGGACGGGGGACGACTGCGGCTGCTCCATGGACCCTGCTCCGTGCCGCTCTGAGAACCAGCTCATGTGAAGCGGAAGAGGCATCTGTGACTGTGGAGTGTGTGTTTGTGAGGGCCCCTACAGCGGCCCCCTCTGTGAATCCTGCCCCACCTGCTCCAACCGCTGCCAGGACCACTCCAGCTGTGCAGAGTGCAAAGTGTTCCAGACACACAGGTCAGGAGTAGGGCTGAGAATGGGCAAAAATTTGAATATTCGATAGTATTGCAATATTCGTGCAAATTTTCAATATTGTTGTGATTCTTAACATATTGTGATACAGAAAGTTTTTCAATTTGATTCTTTGATGTGCGATTCATGTCACTCATACTATTCACTCAAGACATTAAACACTTAGGAGGGTGGTGCGAAAACGAGATCCTTGAACATTCAGGACACAGGACATTATTATGGACAAGACATAATTATTCTCTGAACCGACGACTCTCACATGAACGTAGAGCTCCCAGCATCACTTACATTATTCAAGTACAACAGACCAGAGTCACAACAAGCAGACATCACAGAGTTACAACAAGCAGACATCATAGAGCCACAACAAGCAGACATCATAGAGCCACAACAAGCAGACATCACAGAGTCACGACATCACAGAGTCACAACAAGCAGACATCATAGAGTCACAACAAGCAGACATCATAGAGCCACAACAAGCAGACATCACAGAGCCACAACAAGCAGACATCACAGAGTCACAACAAGCAGACATCATAGAGTCACAACAAGCAGACATCATAGAGTCACAACAAGCAGACATCACAGAGCCACAACAAGCAGACATCATAGAGTCACAACAAGCAGACATCATAGAGCCACAACAAGCAGACATCATAGAGTCACAACAAGCAGACATCATAGAGCCACAACAAGCAGACATCACAGAGCCACAACAAGCAGACATCACAGAGTCACAACAAGCAGACATCATAGAGTCACAACAAGCAGACATCATAGAGTCACAACGTGTAGACATCATAGAGTCACAACAAGCAGACATCATAGAGCCACAACAAGCAGACATCATAGAGCCACAAGAAGCAGACATCATAGAGTCACAACAAGCAGACATCATAGAGCCACAAGAAGCAGACAACATAGAGCCACAAGAAGCAGACATCAGAGTCACAACAAGCAGACATCACAGAGTCACAACAAGCAGACATCACAGAGTCACAACAAGCAGACATCACAGAGTCACAACAAGCAGACATCACAGAGTCACAACAAGCAGACATCATAGAGGAAAATAAACCTCAGATTTAAATTACCAAAGTAAACTCAGAGAAAATATGTGTGAATCAGATCAAATTTCTCAATACTTTGCTCGTCTGTATTGATTTAATTGTGTGCGCCAACTGATTTATGGGCTTTTTTATTTTATTTTAAGCGTGATGTCACAGTGGCACAATGGCATCATAGTATAATAGAACTGAGACAGAAGCTTTAGATATAAGGGGCGGAGTTACATGTCACAAAGGGACAATTTTGCGATTTTACTTAAGTGGTAAACGCCCTCTATAAGTGTTTCCTCCATGTGCCTCAGGTGTGAGGAGGAGTGTCGGCTCTACACCGTGTCCCTGGTGGACACTGTTGACGATCTTCCGGCTCCGAGGTGCAGAATGTTCAGCCGACAAGACAGCTGTGTTTTCCACTTTTCTTACTCCTCATCTAAACATCTGACTGTGACCAAGTCCAAAGAATGTCCCGGCACCACATAAAGCTTTACCAACACGAGTTAAAGAAGAAATATGAAGAATTATTTTTGGCCATTAAAATCATAATGGCCCTCATTTATGAAACTTGCGTACGGCCAAATCAGGGTGTAAATGAGGCGTAAACAAATGTACACTTTTTGGCAATTAGTAATCTATACGTGGGCGTACGGTACGCACAAACTATACGCAGAGTCTGGAGGTGGTGTACATTTTACATCCATCTCAACCTTCATCACAACACACCAAAACATGCATGGAATTCAAGATTTGGACATCAACAGACATATTCGCACTCTGGCTGCGTTTTCATTGAGCATCCATCCATCCATTTTCTATCCTTTAATCCATTTCTGGGTCAGGGGGGTGGCAATCAGAGATGCCACCCAAGTCTCATAGCACCAGCCCCTCACTGACCCTCTGCAGGTGGTGAGTCCACATTGAGCATCATGTTTCAAAATTTGAATTTGCGCATCAGAAATTGTCTAATGGAAACACGCAATTTACGAATAAGTCACAGAATGTTTGCAGGCGTGGGTTTCATAAATACGCTAGTTTTCAGCTGGGATCTGAGCGGATCTCACTCGTTCATAAATCACACACTGGATCTTGCGTATTTGGAATCGACAGAAAAAATATACATTCTTTTCTGCGCTAGATTCATAAATGAGGGCCAATGAGACCATGTACTTTGTCCATTCATGTTTTACAATGTGACGTATTATCTGAAGGAGAAAATATATGGTGAAAGAAATGTATTGCTTTTATCACTAGTTTCCCCGTGCATGTATGTTTGGCCTCTGTCACATCTTTGGAACATATTTTTCAGACAGAAAAGTGATAAAGAGTGTCATGTATGAATATAAGCGTTCGGTACCCAGCTTTGATGTTTTGTACTTGATTTCATGCTCTGTATTATACTCCTTGTCTTTGTAAATCCAAATCCCATGAAACCTGCCCAATAAAAGGAGACTTCTATCCTCAACTTCAATAAAAATAATAATAATCAATTTGGCTTTGGGACAGAGGTGCCTCACTCCTGATTGGCTCTTTGGTTGCTAAGAAGTTGCTATGTGAGAATTTGACTCGAGATCCAGAGCCTGTTTAAGTTGAGGTAGTTCTCATCGTGCTTCGTTTGACGTTTCAAAAAGGGAAAAAAAATACAAATGTAAACCCAATTTTGTCTCCAGTCTATCTGTCCATGCGAAACTGATTAAAAAACATGAACTTTTTCAGTATCTCAGAGCCCTTAAGTGTCGGCTGGTACCTCCATCCTGATGATGATGCAGTTGTTCCTGGCCGTGAGGCTCGTGCTGTGCTGGAACCGCAGATCTCGCGCCATGAGACTCAGCTCCTGACACAACTCAGTCTTTTTCTTTTCTGGATCAAGAAACAACAAAGCAGCACGTTTAGAGCAATATCTAAAGAAAACCTCATTATTAAATGTTTTTGAGAGCACGACTTACCGAATGTTGTGACATTTCCTTCCTGATCAAACCGCATCTGTAAGAAAATTAATAAGAGTTTTTAGGGCGAGGTTAACTGGGGCAACAGTGGGAGAGGTTGGGGGGTTGTTTGAAACTGTTGGAGCAATATAGACACTTTCTATTCTAAAAGTCAGGCCTCTTTGCTTTCTTATTTTTGACAATCATACAGAGGTTTATTAATATAAATAATAATACATCGGTTTTATAGGGTACTTTTTTGGACATGGAAGGGCGCTTCACAAGGTCATCATTCATTCTCTCCAAACACAGTGGTGACTCCTACAGAAGCCACATCTGCCCTGGGGCACACTGACAGAAGCGAGGCAACCAATATGTGCCATCAGCCACTCCCACCATCACCACCAACCATTCACACACACACACACACACACACATACCAGACTCATTCTAATGTGGGAGAAGTGTCTTGCTTAAAGAGCGACTAAACACCTGTGACCAGCCTTACTCCGCCGATGTGAACATTAGAAATTTTTCTCTTAAAAGGGCGTTGCCTGGAGGACCAAGGGACAAGAAGTGGGGCTTAGAGTTGGGCGTGGTCTGGGCTGTGATTGACAGCTCACTTGTCACACGAAAAAAACCAGACAGTTGTCATTACTGCGTAAAGCAATAGTTTACACACCAGAAAGTCTCATTCCACCCTTGTTTGCATACTAAGATAATTGTAGAGCTACACACCTGAACCTAAGCCACAGAATTATCTCAGCAGCAGTGATTGTCAATTCATGTAATCTAATTTTAATCTATGTTTAACAATAAACATAGTTATGCAGTTTATGAGTTAAAAAAAAAGTACACAGCTACAGTTTAGCACTTTACTGCCGCCTACTGTAGCACTTGGTGATCCCAGGGTCTCCCATCACTAACCAGGTTGTGCCCTGGTCTGACGGGATCCGTCTTTCACCTGCAGGTTTGGCCACGTAGAAGGACATTAAGAAGTCCTTGGATTTTCGACACAAGAGCCAGGGAAGATATGACATGAAGCAACTTTAGTTTGATGTTTCTCTTACCACAACAAAAGTAGGGGCCACAGTGGAGGGGGAAGCTTCGGACACGGCCTGACGAACAGGGCAGACTGTGGGGAGAGATTAGGTTAAAGCAACATTGGACTTGCTCAAGAACAATTACACATCTGCTACTTGTGTCCCTGAGAATATATACGTTTTAGAATCTGATATCATGTATTAAAGTAGAAAATATGATAAAATCCGTGTTCATGGATCTAAAAAAGTTGCTTCTATCACTAGTTTTCACATGTGTTTTGGCCTCTGTCTCATTGAAATCACATTTTAAAGACAGAAATGTGAAATCACCTCTCAGAACCAAGAAGTCAAATAGTGACTCACAGGGATCTTTTTTTGTACACAAAAGATAACGTGTTATAACATTTTATTTTTGCAACGAATTGCATTAATCATGGTGAGCTACCGCAGCTTTACATATTGTTTTGCTTGTAATATTCTTCAGTGGATTTGAACTTTGAAAATATTCCACTCTACCGGGCTCGACTCTACTGGGCTCGACTCTACCCTACCGGGCTCGACTCTACCCTACCGGGCTCGACTCTACCCTACCGGGCTCGACTCTACCCTACCGGGCTCGACTCTACCCTACCGGGCTCGACTCTACCCTACCGGGCTCGACTCTACCCTACCGGGCTCGACTCTACCCTACCGGGCTCGACTCTACCCTACCGGGCTCGACTCTACCCTACCGGGCTCGACTCTACCCTACCGGGCTCGACTCTACTCTACCGGGCTCTACCCTACCGGGCTCGACTCTACCCTACCGGGCTCGACTCTACCCTACCGGGCTCGACTCTACCCTACCGGGCTCGACTCTACTCTACCGGGCTCTACCTACCGCTACCGGGCTCGACTCTACCCTACCGGGCTCGACTCTACCCTACCGGGCTCGACTCTACCCTACCGGGCTCGACTCTACCCTACCGGGCTCGACTCTACCCTACCGGGCTCGACTCTACTCTACCGGGCTCTACCCTACCGGGCTCGACTCTACCCTACCGGGCTCGACTCTACCCTACCGGGCTCGACTCTACCCTACCGGGCTCGACTCTACTCTACCGGGCTCTACCCTACCGGGCTCGACTCTACCCCTACCGGGCTCGACTCTACCCTACCGGGCTCGACTCTACTCTACCGGGCTCGACTCTACCCTACCGGGCTCGACTCTACCCTACCGGGCTCGACTCTACTCTACCGGGCTCTACCCTACCGGGCTCTACTCTACTCTACAGTTTCAAGTAAGGCCACACATCCCAATGGCCTGATTCTAGAGAGCTGGTTTCAAAAAAGTACACAATATGAAAAAAAAACATAACTGCACGGCGGTGTTGAATAAAATACATTTTGGAGAAACTTAGCCGTGCAGAGTTTTATCTTTTATCATCTGTAGTACCATAAGCTAGCATCCTACCCACAACAAACCAGTATCCAATGGGAATGCCTTGGGTTGGGTTGGGTTGGGTTGGGTTGGGTAGAGTAGGTTGAAACAGTGGCAGCGCTCACAGAATGAATAGTGACGCATTACGTAAGTTAAATACACGTATGTATTGTGTAGTTTGTATACATTACCAGACCATGCAGCTCCAACACTTTGGTCAAAACACTTTCTTTGATATCGAGTCCTGCACCATCCCAGCTTATTTCCATATAAAGTGCCATATTTTTGTTTGGAAGCACTAAGGAGCAAAGTTCTAATCCCACCCAGAGTCAAAAGTCTGGAAAAACGCTGTGGATACAGGTTTAAAGAGGGTATGAACATGTTTAAACACGGAGAGCAGCCAAACAGCATCTTCACGGTGCACTGAGAAGCAGTAACAGCGACTGTAGAATGATGCTGCTTCTGTTTGAGGTCCAATGATCCACTGCTCCTTGGTTAAACATTGCTTAAAAAGTGGTTACATCCAAAAGTCCTGGTCCATTTTGACACCACGCTGCTGTTTACATGCCCTTGTGTTAGTTCCATGCGCCGTGTTTTGGCTAGCTGGCAATGCTACATGTGCTGGTTTGCTAACGTGTGGCTAAAAACAAACATTTTCCTATGATTTGGAAACGAAACATGAGCGGATATTATTGCAAATGTCAAACACATGAATGCTTCACGGCAGGAGAAGGGTCCATCATGCATCGCGTTATTTTTTCCCCCCAATGCAGTTCTGCCAAAACACTTGCAGTTTATGAATCCACAAAAACAACACATCGTCACTTATTCCATTTGTATTACTTATCATTGGAAAATTTAAGAGGAATTTTACGTTATGTGAAGGGAGCAAGTAGTATTAGGAACAGTACACTATGTGAGCCTTAGCAAAACTGCGCTTGGGAAAATAAATGGCAGACTTGACAGAAGCAAAAAACATTAAATTACGTAAAATTAAATAAATTAAAACAAATATGTTACTAATGAAAAAAAGCTTAGATTATGACACAAACAAAATAATTATTTCGAAAATAATGTGTTATCATTATTATTAGTATTATTATTGTTGTTGTTGTGTTGATAATGTTAATAAATAGTTAAATTAAAATGTATATAAAATTAGTATTATAAAATGCATAGAATAAATACAATATATTAGATAAATTAAATAGAATAACAAATATATAAACATATATACAGTCATAAATAATACAATAGACTTCAATAGATGAAGATGAATGAAGTAGATGAACCAATAATCATTAATATCATTTTGAGAAAGTTATATTTACACATTGCCCAGCTGCCCCAGCATTGTCCTCCTCTCCCCCTCACCTTCCTCCCTCCCTCCTCTGGGATGCTGCACAAAGCGGAAGGATGCTGCAGCACAGCCGCGCTCAGCTCTGATCTCTCCTGTTCGTTGTTGTTTCTTTGGCTCCATCTCTTCACCCATGTTTCCCTCGTGCTGTCCCGGTCCCTCGGCGGTTGGTGTCCCCGGGGACGATGCCCCGAAGCGCCGGTCCTGGACAAAGCTGCTCCTGGGCGTGTTCGCGGTCTACATGCTGCATAGCGCCTGGCTACTCTACACGTTCCTCCACAATAAGCCGTGTGACGGTGGAGAGCAGTGCATCCGATCCTACCTGAGCGCACGACCCAGACTGCAGGTACATCTGCACCAGTCCATCTGCACCAGCACCAATGCATCACCTCCATATCATCATCTAATAATACATTCTGCAGCTACAGTGTTGGAAAGTAACTCAATACAAGAGGGGAGACCAGGGTTAGTTTTCACATTTATAACAATGATCTATATTTGCAGAATGTACTTCAGTGCAAGAAAGAAGGGTTAGAGTGATGCATTATTTTTGGCCATTCAAAAATACATTAAGACATTTTACTTTGTCATGTCATGTTTTGGAATGTGAAATTGATTGAAAAAATGGTGGTAAACAATTTATGTTTCTATATGTTCTCTTTGCGACCACCAGAGGGAGTTGTAGCATTTGTTTTGTATTTTTACACATTTGTAAATTACTGTCTGCAAACACAGTCATGCATATACACAGAAATGACCAAAACTACTTTTTTCTGCCTTTGAATACAATGGAATCTTTAACCATAATATAACATTGTTTCTCATCCGTCAGAGACCTGGAGTTGTTTTTAGATTCATCCACGCTAATACCGGGAACTTGTAGCTCCTGTCTCGGTAACCAATATGATGTCTTTGTACCACTAAGACATCACACTCAGAGCACTTTTCTTTACAATCACATGTCTGTGTTTGCACTCCTCCCTCTGTTGGTGGTACAGGGAGTTACAGACAGAAAGTGTTTTTTACCCTTCATTCTTCCCTGTTATTTTCTATTTATTATTTCCCTGTATTGTTATTTCACATCCAAAAACATGAATTTAAATAGTAAAGAGTGTCATGCTACTTAACTCATTGACTGCTAGCCGTTTTTGATTATTTCACTGATTTTTCAAGACCCACAGAATAATGTGTGCTATCACTATGTGAAAAATGAAACCAGATTCTGAAAGACTGGACTGTCCACTTTCATCAACAAAAGCAAGTTGGTTTCAGGCTAGTTTTGTTCTCCTGTGATCCCCAGTCGAGTAGAGGGAAGTTTGACAGATATCGCTGGTCTCAGACAAATACGTCAATGGCAGTCAATGGTTAATATATACAGTCTATGGTTAAAGTAATACATAATATATTTCCTCAGCTGGTTTAGTCGTATATGGTTTCATTTAGCGGAGGGGAAAAATCCATTCTGTTCATTATTGTGATATTTGGAGCTCTGAAAAAAATTGAGAATAAAAAAAACATTCAATACAATGTATTGGGTGATTACATTTAACAGTAATCTGTTTCACTTTCATGTTTCTGATGAGTCTGATCATCACATTTGCATATTACCACAAGGTGGCGCTTGTTGCGGTGCTTTGTTTTCGTCCATTCATTCAACAACTCATCAAGTTCAAAGGATAACGGTTTTGCACACCTCGGGTTCAGTCTTATTTTCGTCCATTTTTGTAATGCCTTTGAATAATATGAGGAAATAATCACAATATATCGCTGAATCAAATCACAATACTTGATATATCACAGAATCAGGATTAGGGTGTGGCTAACCACACCCATAGGTTATAAATCTCCAACGCGCGGCCCGAGAATTCATTCCCTGAAGAAGTCCGCTAGGTTGAGGACGAAACGTCGGGAAAACTTGCTAAGAAGTACAGATGATGGGTGAGAAACCTTCCTTTGCATATCACAGAATGTTAAGAATCGCAATAATATTGAATTTTGTCCAAAATATTGCAATACTATCGAATCGTCACATTGTTGCCAATTCACATTCCTAATTTCATATTTGTACAAAGTGGAGTGATGTGCTCGTATCTGGCCCATAGTTCTTTTCTTGGTCTGATGAAAAGTCTGTTCTTTTGACAAATAGAGTGCAGCCTGAGGAGCTTTCTTACATTACCCACTTACAGCCCTCTGCTTCACACGACTAAAGCCTGAGACTCTGACAGGGCCGTAATCTAACCCAAACACCCATAACATTTATTACATTATAAACAGAACATTAATGATGCTTTGTATGTCACTGCAATAACAAGTCTTTCTTTTGGTCCAGTTTTGGTTTAATTTTAATATTTAATTTCCTCCAAGATTTCCAGTAATCATAGAAATCATTGATGCATCGATGTCTCACTGCACACACGCATTAATATATTACTCATTCATATACTTTCATGCAACACTTTGGTAGATTAATGCCCTGAAACAGCTGGAAATGCAAAAGTGAAAAACATTTTCAGACAAATCATGTTCAGAAAAATCAGAGACTGCAGTTTTCATGTTTGCCATTTCCTTGGTTTATAAACACCACTTAAATACATTTTTGTTTGGACATTTTGTTACTCTTCACTGCGTAAAGCCAATCTAAAAACGCCTGAAGTGGTCTTTTCACTTTTCAATCTGTAAATTATGGACAAATCGCCTTGACAATGGGTATTTAAGAATGAGTCTGGTGAATGAATAATGACATGTGAAGCATCTTTGAGTGTTCAAATAAGCGCTATACAAAACAGATGCATTATTATTGTTATTATTATTTATGAAGCATTTATTAGTCTTTATTCTACATGGCCTTATTCAACGTCTAACGCAATATACCAACTGACACTATCACATGTGGGTTAGTGCGAGGGTTCACTAATTCTTCTGCAAATTCTTTCCACAAATATAACAGTACAGATGTAGCGTGGAAGTAGTCCATGTTCAGACTTTAATCCAGGACGGTCTAAGGACAGTTTCTGCACAGTGGTCATCCCGCTCCCTCTGGCCCAATGGCTCTATGTGTTTGTTATTATTGCTGTGTTTGAACCATACTGTTGGCTTGTCGGGTCTGTTGTTGGTGAATCCTTTTGTAAAATCCTCCGAGACGACTGCGGTTGTGATTTAGGGCGATACATAAATACATTGAATCGACTCGGATTGAACGGCTGGAGTGAGCAGACTGTTAAACTGGGACAGTATGGAGCAGTTTCACAGAATACGACTGACGTGTCCCATTTTTTAAAGGACAAGTCCCATGTGACCCATTTAACAACCATTTACAGTGGAGAAATTGCATTGAAAGTTGTGTCTTAGATAAAAGTCCCAGTATTGGACTTTAATGGTGACCTCTGTGTTTCCAGCTCAGCCTGTTCACGTGTCTCGTCCCGGACAACAGCCAGCTGCACCTCGCTCTGAAGATCGACCCGTTTGATCCTCAGTCCTCGTATGAAAGGTGAGGAAGGAGAAATGTGCTGGCGTCACATGAACGCAACACAGTGCACAAAACACATTATTTTTTCTGCTGTGAGACAGACACAAAAGATGTTGAACATGGAAATCGACTTAAATTTCAACAGCCACATCAAATCAGCAACATCAGCAGCTTTTGACTATCTTAAGACATTGCCAGAATAAAAATATGTCTAAGGACTTGAAGTTTCTTATTCTGCATTTGTCTCCAGTGATAGACTATTGTAACACCTGCTCACTGTCTGACTCGAACCAGGAAGTATGATCACATTAGTCCAGTCCTCAGGTCTCTGCACTGGCTTCTTGTGGCTTAGAGAATAGACTTTAAAACAGCTCTGTTTGTTACAAGTCTCTCCATGGCCTCGCACCAAAGTACATCTGAGACATGTTGGTGCCATATGAACCAACTCTGAGGAGCACAGGGACTGGCCTCCTGCTGGTGCCCAGAGACAGGACTAAACATGGAAAGGCAGAAATTTCTAAAAATCTGGAGCTAAAGCCTTCCTGAAAATGTGAGACACTCTTCTTCTTCTGCTATGTTCAAAACCAGGTTAAAAATTGTTCTGTTTAGCTGCAACAACTGAACGATTTTATCTTGTTTTAATGGTGATTATTGTTTTAATGCCTCGTAAGATTGTTTTGTTCAGCACTTTTACTATAGCCTTCTGTATGATTTGTGCTATGCTAATAAACTTGCCGTGCCTGCTGCGTTCTTGTTGCAGACAGGTGATGGTGCAGGTGCCAGAGGAGACTCGCTCAAACGGGAGCCTGTTTGCGGTGGTGTATGTGCACAGAGCAGGAGCCTCTCCGCTGGAAGACTCCTCTGAAGTCCACTCCACCACCAAACTCACCACCTACCACAGCGCCGCCCCGGAGGACGAGGTGGGGAAGGACAGGGAGGGACAGGAGAGGACCCAGAGAGATCAGAGGGAAACACTGGTCTATCCCGTTCTCTCTCTAGTCTTTCTCTAGCCTCTCTGGTCCCTCTCCAGTCTCTCTCGGTCTCTCTTTAGTCTCTCTGGTCCGTCTGGTCTCTCGCTCTTGTCTCTCTCTTGTCTCTATCTTGTCTCTCTCTGATCTGTCTCTAGTCTCTCTGGTCTCTCTCTGGTCTCTCTCTGGTCTGTCTCTAGTCTCTCTGGTCTCTCTCTGGTCTCTCTCTGGTCTGTCTCTAGTCTCTCTGGTCTCTCTCTGGTCTGTCTCTAGTCTCTCTCTGGTCTCTTTCTGGTCTCTCTCTGGTCTCTCTCTGGTCTGTCTCTAGTCTCTCTCTGGTCTCTCTCTGGTCTCTCTCTGGTCTCTCTCTGGTCTGTCTCTAGTCTCTCTCTGGTCTCTCTCTGGTCTCTCTCTGGTCTCTCTCTGGTCTGTCTCTAGTCTCTCTGGTCTCTCTCTGGTCTCTCTGGTCTCTCTCTGGTCTCTCTCTGGTCTGTCTCTATCTCTCTCTCTTGGTCTCTCTCTGGTCTCTCTCTGGTCTGTCTCTAGTCTCTCTGGTCTCTCTCTGGTCTCTCTGGTCTCTCTCTGGTCTCTCTGGTCTCTCTCTGGTCTCTCTCTGGTCTGTCTCTAGTCTCTCTCTGGTCTCTTTCTGGTCTCTCTCTGGTCTCTCTCTCTCTGGTCTGTCTCTAGTCTCTCTCTGGTCTCTCTCTGGTCTGTCTCTAGTCTCTCTCTGGTCTCTCTCTGGACCTTGCTGTCTATATAAGAATTAAAGTTGACGTTTGTTAAGACCTTTTTATTTCGACACATTTTTGTCTTTCCTGTGGTGAAAAGCAGACACAGATCCAAACAACACGCAAACATTTCCCACTTTTGTCGCGGATTCATTTCACCACAGGTCAAATAGACAGGTCAGCAGTGGAATCAATGGACTTGACCTCAGACTCACGTAGTGACGTCTCTGGTAATTAACGAAAAAGCAAAAATAATACAGTTATTTATTATTGTTTCTTGTGTTGTTGTTGTATCGTAGGGTTTGTTTTCCCGCCAGAGGAGGCCGAGCCGCAGAGCCAGACCCGTGTCCCACTGGAGACCACACCTCTCTGTGTCCATGATGTCGGAGATCTTCTCATTCAACAAAGGAGGCGTTCCCAGTGACGTGCGGCGCTTCATGAGGGTGTAAGGCAATCATTGGGTATTGACTCCTGATTCTTTTAAGTTACCAACATGTACCTATTTTACAATAAGAAATATTTGTGAATATCCTCTTCATCTATCTATCTATTATGACCATAACCTGATTTTTAAGTCATTTTAATTTGATATTGGCTTGTTTCTACAGATCTAAGAATGAAAGGCAGGTCACGTACCTCCCTCTGCTGCTGGTGAACGAGCTCAGCTTCAGGGTCCGAGACCTCATGGTGAGAATCTGTACGCACTCACAGCTGTATTGCACTGAGAAGGTCTCTCCCTGGTCTCTTCCTGTTCTTTCTCTGGTCTCTCTCCCTGGTCTTTTTCTGGTCTCTTTCCCTGGTCTCCCTCTGTTCTCTGCAGACTGGAGGCTGGTCTATAGGTCCATAAAGGAGTCCAGAGTTTTATGTCACTGTGTGTGTGTGTGTGTGTGTGTGATGCTTGAGTCTTTATCAGTGGCTCCTGCCTCTGGTCCTGACTCTGGTCCTGACTCTGGTCCTGACTCTGGTCCTGCCTCTGGTCCTGACTCTGGTCCTGACTCTGGTCCTGCCTCTGGTCCTGCCTCTGGTCCTGACTCTGGTCCTGACTCTGGTCCTGCCTCTGGTCCTGACTCTGGTCCTGACTCTGGTCCTGCCTCTGGTCCTACCTCTGGTCCTGCCTCTGATCCTGACTCTGGTCCTGCCTATGGTCCCGACTCTGGTCCTGCCTCTGGTCCTGACTCTGGTCCTGCCTCTGGTCCTGCCTCTGGTCCTGACTCTGGTCCTGCCTCTGGTCCTGCCTCTGGCCCTGCCTCTGGTCCTGCCTCTGGTCCTGCCTCTGGTCCTGCCTCTGGTCCCGACTCTGGTCTCGACTCTGATCCTGCCTCTGGTGCTGCCTCTGGTCCCGACTCTGGTCTTGACTCTGGTCTCTGCAGGAGCTGAACAGCAGCTCGGTGCGTCTCCCTCTGAGTCTGTCGTACGAGGGCATCTCCCTGAGGAGGTTCAGGTTCCTGCTGCAGCTCCAGGACATGGTCTACTCCCTGCGACAGTTCGGTGAGAGACTTTTTATTCAATGTATCACAACAGTAGTTATCTCAAAGGACTATACAAAGCTGCCGATTCGCCAACACAGATCAGAGAATCAAACAGCCAAAGCATGGCCTGGGTACAGTTATTCTTAGATTTGAACTGCTCTTTGTTTGGGTCTGGTCTTGATCTGGGTCTGCTTTTGGTCTGGGTCTGGTCTTGGTCTGGTTTTGGTTCGGCTCTGGTCTTGGTTTGATTCTGGTCTTGGTTTGGGTCTGGTCTAGCCTGGTCGTACCACACCATAGTACAAATGACATTTCGTACTAATCTTCTATCTTCTGGCAGAGATACGTCACTTTCTTATTGTCTGTTCATTTGTTTCCGTTTGCAGGTTTCACAGAAGAAAACATCGATGAGATCAAAGAGACTCTGGTGGGGTCCAACCTGTGGCTGCTGGTGCTGACGGCGCTCATCACGTCTCTGCAGGTGACGCACACTTTTATGTGTTTGTTACTCCAGGAGAAACAACTCATGGAGATTCAATTTAAAATAGAAAATACAATATAATCTTCAGACTACAACAGCAAACTCAGGATATAGGACTCCAATTCAGAAATGTGTTTTAAATTTAAGTTTAGTTCTGTTTTCTTAATGAGACTTAATGAGGTTATTTTACTATTTTCAATTCATCCAAAGCAAGGGGCCCCAACCATAGACTGTATTTCGAAGGGCTATGCTAACCCGCTAGCTCAGTCAGGGGGTGCGCTCAAATGTTTGGGGGGTGTCTACATTGTCTCTTGCATTGATGCATGTTGGTTGTGCCCAAGTTTGTGTCCAAAATTTAAATATTGTGAACAAATGAGACAACAACCGGCCGTCTTCATCTTATTAAAATACAATTGTGTGTGTGCAGTTGGTGTGTGAGTTCCTGGCTCTCAAGAACGACATCAGTTGGTGGATGGGGAAGAACAGCATGGCTGGCGTGTCCAGAAAGACCGGTCTGAGCTCTATTTAACTTTAATATTATCTGTGTCCTCCAGCTCTACTCTACTTTACTCTACTCTACTCTACTCTACTCTACTCTACTCTACTCTACTCTACTCTACTCTACTCTACTCTACTCTACTCTACTCTACTCTACTCTACTCTACTCTACTCTACTCTACTCTACTCTAAACAGTTCTCTGAGAACTGCTGTTGTTACAGATTTTCCATTGAATATAGGTTGAACCTTGACCTTTACCCATTTCTAACCTTTGCCTTAACCGTAGCATGATTGTTGCTCTGAAATATGTTTCTCTCAGTCCGGGACAAAATACCAACATTTTAGTGAGTCTCGTTCTTTCATAAGCCCTAACGTACAGTTCGTAGTTACTTTTGTAAACAAGTGCAAATGTGCAAATGTTCAAGTTGTATTAATACTTTTGCAACCCACTAAATTATATGATATTGTCTTGCATTATCTTACATTTTACTCTATTGTGTTCTTCCAGTTTTGTGGCGCAGTCTGAGCACGCTGCTGATCTTCATGCACCTGTTGGAGGAGACCAGCCTCCTGGTGCTGATCCCCATCGCACTGGGGGCCTTTGTGGAGGTAAACATATGAAACATACATTATTTACTCATTTAGAGCAACAACGTGTGCAAATACTGACGGTTCTCACTAAGTATCTTTGTAAAGCTAGAATTTAGCATAAGTACTTAGTGAGAACCGTCATTTTCGAGGACTCACTTCAGCATTGCTCCCAAACCGGTCTGCCCACTCTGCACCCAGTCTACATGGGCCTGCTAATGATAGCCTTGTGATGCTTTCAAAGGCGTCTTGTAACTTTGCCTCAACCATCACACTTTGAAGAGTGATTGTGAACACACCTTAGTCACATGCAGTCACACATCATCTTGTTTCTTTGAGCGTTTGATTTTCACACAACTGCAGCAGCTCAAGTCTATTCATTTACACGGCTTTTTTCTGTATGCAATATTCTGGATGTATTGTTTGGATTTTTTTACCTATGGGCCGTATTATATTGTGTCCTTAATAAAGATTGATAATAATAATAATATATCAAAAATAGATAATGGTTTATTTAAAGCTGCATTACCTGACTCTATTTTTGTATTCATTACGAAAATTCAATCCATATCCGTGTAATGCATTGGGACGTCCTTTTGAAGAAAAAGTTGCGCAGATATTTTCGATCGAGTTTTTGTGAAACAAGGAAGAGAATGTTTTTTTCGGGTCCAGATTGTGACCAATCACAGCGGACCCCCACTTTCTTGAGAAAGCTACAGGTCTCTCGTTAGCACAGACAGCTGAGGTAAACAAGCGGCGGAGCTAACCTGAAGCTTCCCGTGTCTTCGTTACCGGTTACTGCTAACACAGCGAAACAACCGTCCAAAAGAAAGTCTCGTCCTCTCCGCGCTTCCCGGTTCTATCATTCTATGGTCACGCCATCCACGCTCAAATGTGCGATCCAGATTGTGAGGCGTGAGCTCCGTATACATTTAGCACATGAGCACAGGCTTCGAACATTTCTCAAAGTGAGTCAGTGCAGCTGGTTTTTCACACTTCAATCAACACACGAGTTTACATGCTTCTTGATCAATAGAAAGAAATCGGAGGAAGAGGATTGAGTTCTTACTAGTGCTTTGTAAACTTTGTGAATACTAGTGCTTCACCTTCACCAAACTCCTGATGTCTCTGCTTCAGGTCTGGAAGGTTTTCAAAGTCTACAAGATCCAGCTGCAGTGGAACGGTCTGACTGTGAGTGCTCAGACTTCACACACATCCAGACCCTTTTTCTCACCGCTCTCTCTCTCTCATGTTCAGGTCAGCAAGATGGACGAAGACGAGAAGAAAACCGTGGAATACGATGCGCAGGTACGTGTTTTATTTTTATTTTTTTTAACTCATTGACTGCCAGCCTATTTCAGAACAGGTACTCCCATATTGCCAGCCATTTCTGATGATTTTTACTGATTTTTCAAGACCCACAGAATATTGTGTACTATGACTATCTGAAATCCAATATCAGATTCTGAAAGAATGGACTGTCTACGTTCATCAGCAAAAATAATTTTGGTTCTAGCTTGTTTTGTTCCCCTGTAATCCCCAGTTGAGTAGAGGGAAGTTTTACTGAAATCACCAGAAAGCTGAGAAAAAAGAGGCACCACATGTGCAGCTAGCTGTTTTCAAACCATTCATAGAGAAATGCTGCCACCTGCTGGCTCGATAAAATATGGTCTCTAACCCTAACCCTAACCCCAAACATATTAGATACAATAGACATCTGGGAATAGCGGGCAATGGCGGTCAATGAGCTGGGATCCCTTGAGTTCAACCACCACAATGGATCTATGGAATAAAATCTGTGTTATTAGTGCCACAAACTGGTTCGAGGTTTGGACAAAAATGGAGTCCACACAAAAAATACGAATAGGATGTTTATTTAAAAGGCTGCTACTGCAAGGTGAGGGGCCTCCATTGGCTTCTTGAGGCCGGTCCCACCCATCTTCAGGTGCTGCTAGTCCCAATCAGCTCTCCCATTGGCTGGTTCCTGGAAGAAGGAGAAAGCCAGCAGCAGCACACACACACTGGGGTCGTCACACATAGTTCCTGGCTCTAGAACAGTTTGCCCCTGTACCTCTGTCATATCTTTGGGTGGTACAGTGGTTAGTGCTTGTATTTCACAGCAAGGAGGTCCTGGGTTTCGATTCCACCTCCAGACCTTTCTGTGTGGAGTTTGCATGTTCTCCCTGCTTCTGTGTACGTTTCCTCCAGGTGCTCCGGTTCTCTCCACCACTGAAAACATGTACAGTAAGATAAGATAAGACAGACTTTATGGATCTCACACTAGAGAAATGTACATGTCACATTTGGTATAGATAGAATCACTCAGAATGTGCAAAAAGGTTAAAATATAGTCTGTTCAGGATATAATTGTCTAGAATGAAAAAAGCAGTGCAGGTGTTTCAGTCCTAGTGACTTAACTATTGTAAAGTGCTTTGTGATTCTGGTCTGTGAAAGGAGCTCTATAAATAAAGATTACTTACATATTTTCGATCAGCTTTTTCAGACGGAAAATCAAAAAGGGGAGGACCTCGCTCACTCGGCCAATCAGCTCTCAGCCCAAAGAGCCTTTCATACTTTTGCGCCATATTTGATTTAGTCCAAAAAGGTTTAGAAAATCGATAATTAACGTAGACCATCAGACAAAACAACCGATCAAGTGCGTTTGACGCCTGGGGTACGTGAATGATTTAACACTTGACAGGTTGTACTCATAATGTATCTCCAGAGAGCACAGGGCAAAGAGGTTGGGGACCACTGGTGTAAGTGACAAGAATGTGGACAAAAGCTGAGAAAAGTATTTTTTCTCAGCTGTTTCCCATTCTACAATATGACATGCCAAAGTGCCCACTCTCAAGATGTGAGATTTTCATGTCAAGTCATCAATAAATGGCCCTAATCTGTCCAAAGGTGTTAATAAAACATGCTCTTTTCCAATAATTCTTTAACTGATAACAGTAGTTCAGAGATATTTGTATTTCAACATTAGTTTTACAGCCCCTAAATCTTTTCATTTCCATGTCCCACCCTCCACCTTTTGACCAATCAGAAAGTCTGTGATCCGGGTTGCCAGAACTCGCAGCATCGAGCTAATCTCACTGGTAAAGTAACATGTGGTGCAGAACTAAAAAAGGTCTCGTTCTGAATCTCAAATCATTAACGACAAAAGAAGGAATAAAACCAAGATTTCTCTTGTCTGTTCAGATATTATGGTCCCAGCTGGATTCGTCTGCATATCTGGCAACCTGTCAGGGAGTAGTAGAGGTTGCAGTACCACTTTTGGCCAGATTTTTAGAGTCTGAACTAAACATGGGGGAGGCGGCATTTCAGATTTTTGCAGCTCTGTTCAAATCCAGGTTAAAAATAGTTCACTCTTTTTATGTACTTTTTAATGTACTGTGATCATTTATGATTTATTTATTTGCCATACAAATAAACTTACCTCAATAACCTGAAATAAAGCTGATGTCTGTACCTTCTGGTGTCCGCAGGCCTCACGATATCTGTCCTACCTGGTTTATCCTCTGTGTGTGAGTGGAGCCATCTTCTCTCTGGTTTATTTGCGACAGAAGAGGTGAGATAATAAAACACATTTGGAATAAAGTGACATTGAGTTGATTTTAAAACGGTTTTTCTCATGTTTCCAGTTACTTCTCGTGGCTGCTGAACACACTGGTGACCGGTGAGGAGAGGATTTCATGATTATAATGTATTGTTATGTTTCTAAATGATCAGAAATGGTTTGAAATTCAGGATTTTGTTTTTATTTCCTTTTTTGCTTCAGTTTGGCTTAATGCAAAACATTCATTTTTATTATGTATTTGTTTTTAAATATGAGCCGGTTTGGTGCCATGAAACCAGTTTATGTACGTTTTGATGGCACTTTAAATGTTCATTCAACTTAACACAATGTTATTTTTCCGTTTTGATAATAATATCTTTGTGAGTGGGCGGAGTTTTGGCTTTTGTTTATTTCATAGTGATGTCATCATCCAGAACCAGGAAGTACAATTTTAGATCCAATGAAAACATGTCAAACTGGGAAAAAGTAATTGAGGAAATATAATTATATATTTTTTTATTTAACCATTTTACAACCAGAAACAGACCTGGAGCTGTGTTTAGAACCATCCACGCTGATATTAGGAACTTCTGCCACAAACATGTAGCTCCGCCCCTTCTGTCTGAAAGCTCCCGTCTCAGTCCTGTAATAGTATGATGTCATTGTACCACTATGACATCATACTCACTACTAAAACATGTACAATAGGTCTGGCCTGTGCCTCCTGTACGTGAGCTGCTCCATCTCTGTGAGGAGTGAGACAAATACTCACAACAAATTGTAAAGTGCTTTGTGACTCTGTGAAAGGCGCTGTATAAATAAACTTTAAACGTGTGTCTCTTCAGGTGTGTATGCGCTCTGCTTCCTCTCCATGGCTCCTCAGCTCTTCATCAATCACAAGGTTTTTTATTGTAATTTATATTCACATGGATAATTATTGTCTAGCTTTAATTGAACCCTGTGTCGTCTGCAGCTGCGGTCTGTGAGCCACCTGCAGGGGGCGGTGCTGGTCTACAGGGTGAGTACAGGCACATTGTAGATCACTTTTTGAGTCACTATATCAGGGGTCTCCAACCTGTGGCTCGGGACATTTAGACATTTAGAATCCTTTAATATTTCAATAAGTTTGCTTTGCCTACACTGTTATACGTCTTATCTTATTTTCTTATCATTAATTTAGCCATTTTCATGAACAAAGTATAACAGAAGGCAACTCAAGGTGCTTCACAAACATTAAAATCCCCAAATAATTAGTTTACAGTTAAGTACTCGGGCGGCACGGTGGCTGAGTGGATAGCACTCTCGCCTCTCAGCAAGAAGGTCCTGGGTTCGAATCCCAGTCGGACCAGGGCCTTTCTGAGTGGAGTTTGCATGTTCTCCCTGTGTCTGCGTTTCCTCCGGGTGCTCCGGTTTCCCCTACCACTAAAAATATGTACAATAGGTCTGGCATGTGCCTCCTGTACTGGCCCCACTCCCAAAAATAACAATTGTAAACCGCTTTGAGACTCCGATGTGCAGTGAAAAGGCGGTATATAAATAAAGATTACTGATTACTACTACTCATAAAACAATCCAATTCCACTCTATACCGTTCTACACTAATGACTACATTTCTTTTGAACCGCCTAAAGAAGTAACTCTCTGCCTTTTTTGTCATAAAAGAGTAGCTCTTCATTGGAAAAAGGTTGGAGAGCCCTGCACTGTATCAACTTGGAACTGAAATCTCCCTCTCACTTGGTTTGAGGCACTTTAACCATCTAACTGCATCTCCACCATTTGTTAAAGACCAATGATTTAAAAGAAAACTAGGGATAAAAAAATACATAAAAACTAATTAGTGCTTCTCAAAGAGTGAATATTAAAGGGTTAAAAGGACGCCAAGACTCCTGCTTTCAAAAGTCTCACTGCTACAAGTCCAGACCAGTGCGATGTTGATGTTCTGAGTCTCCTAAAATCCAAGATTCAATGTGTCGTTATTGTCGCAGTGAGCAACAAAACTATGTTCAGAGAATCAACAACGCTGCAGAACCCCAGGATCCCCGGGAATAGATCCAGAACTCAGTGTAAACATTTAACCAATCTTGGCATCAGTGGCTTGTTTTATCGATGTTCTTGTGCTCACCAGAGACTTTAGCACCTGTGTCCAATGAAAACGACAAATAAAATGAATCTGAATCAGTAACAGAGACGTGGAGATAGTGACACGAGGAAGGAGCGAGGTCCAGCTCAGAGCAATTTTGGTGGATGTGGTTATTGTCCGGGAGAGAGGGAGAGAGAGAGGAGAGAGAAGAGAGAGAGGGGAGAGAGAGGAGAGAAGGGGATAGAGCGGACACACGGGGAAGAGTGCAGAGACAGGAGAGAGGGGGGAGGGACTGGAAGAGAGCGGAGAGAGACAGGAGAGAGGAGAGAGAGTGGAGAGAGGAGAGAGCGTAGAGATGGGAGAGAGGGAGAGACGGGAGAGCGTAGAGAGACAGGGAGAGGGGGAGAGAGAGAGGAGACGGGAAGAGATGGGAGAGCGTAGAGATGAGAGAGAGTGAGAGAGGAGATAGGCGGGGAGAGATGAGAGCGTAGAGATGGGAGAGAGAGGGAGGGTTTAAACTCTGGTCTCTCACACAGATCTCAGTGATATAAACGTCCCTTTGATCCCTGCAGGGTGTGAACACTCTGCTGTCGGACCTGTGCTACCTGGCCTCCTCTCTGAACCCGTCGGTGTCTCTGCCCTCGGCTCATCAGCTCTGCTGCTTCAGAGACGAGCTGCTGCTGCTGCTCTACGTCCTCCAGCGCAGGTACACACTCTCTTCTGTAGCACAGGTACACACTCTCTTCTGTAGCACAGGTACACACTCTCTTCTGTAGCACAGGTACACACTCTCTTCTGAAGCACAGGTACACACTTTCTTCTGTAGCACAGGTACACACTTCTCTTCTATAGCACAGGTACACACTCTCTTCTGTAGCACAGGTACACACTGTCTTCTGTAGCACAGGTACACAATCTCTTCTGTAGCACAGGTACACACTTCTCTTCTATAGCACAGGTACAGACACTTGTTTCTCTTCCATAGCACAGGTACAGATACACTTCTTTTTCTTCTATAGCACAGGTACAGACGGACTTCTTTCTTTTCTCTCTCTCAAACTCTGTGTATGTGGGAGCCGCATGAGGTGGAGTCTGGTTTCCTCTGGGTGCTCCGGTTTTACCTACCACTAAAAACACAAAAAAACAATAGGTCAAATCCTCCAGCTCCTGACCAAGAGCATCGTCCTTGACCAAAGAGTCCAATCTTATAGCAACCTCATAGCAACCAAAGAGCCAATCAGGAGCAAGGCTGGTTGACTATAGGGATATATAGCAGCTGATTTGTCCGTTATTAATGGTCATATCTTGAGTCACAAAGAAGAGATTAATGATAGCTTTTCAATGGAAGTGAATGCAGGAGAGAACTGTCCATTGCTCCTTTACAGACCCTGGTTATAACTGCTGTTGATTTGCAATTTTTTCTTACATATATTTTGTCCTCCTCAGGAAATACGGCTCCAAACACAGAAGACGAGACTCGGGGCCAAACGGCAAGAAGCAGAAAACACAATGAGATACAGAAAGAGCAACAACCATTTCCTCCACGGCTTTTATCATGGCACATCCTCTGTCGTTTCTCCTGCTGGTTTAACATTACACACAATAGGAAGTTGTTGGACGGTGGTGACGCTGGGCCGGACTCATGGTTGATTCGAAAACCCGCATGTGATAAACTTTAACGTCTGAAATTCAAGATTCAAACCATGTGAAAAACTTGTAAATACTTTTGCCGCATTTGCTTTGATCTTTGTCTCGTTAAAATTTGTGATAAAAACAGATTTCAAAGTGTTGTGTGTCTCTGTGTTTGTATCGGGGTCGTCCAAACAGAATAGTGTAGTATTTAAAGCTGGGGTGTGTAACTTTCAAACCTCGGTTCTGGATTTAAAAACAGTTGCTTCCATCCCTAGTTTTCACACGCATTTTCTTTTGGGTCTCTGTCACATAATAATAATACATGAAACTTATATAGCGTTTTATTTGTGGACGCTCAAAGACGCTTTACAAAACATATAAAAAATACATAACATAAAAAATTTAGAAGAGCAAAAATGAAGGAAAAGTGAGAAGTACGTTTCTGACGGTTGTGGGGGTTCCAGAGACTTTGGGGGCAGCTGCAGCTATGGCTCGGTCCCACATGGTTCACTGTTTAGTCCTGAGGGGAGTGAGGTGGGTGGGTGAACTGTAGAGGCATTAAAGCTGGGGTGCGTAACTTTGAAACCTGGATAACTGCAACTAAGATCCATGTCACTATTGGCTTTAAACAGTTTTTCTAGTTTTCACATCCTCTATGTTTGTCCTCTGTCACATCTTTCAATCAGCTTTTCCAGACAGAAAAGTGAAAAAAGGGGACCACCCTCACTCAGCCAATCAGCTCCCAGCCCTAATAGTCAAATAGTGACTCACAGGGCATGCTTTCTACTCAGTTGAAGACAGCTTGCCATGGTCTCATTTGTTCACAATATTTTACTTTTACACTCGTTCTGTTGGATAAACTATTGTGTTGTTTATGATATATCAAATAATGCACTGCAGCTTTAAGCAGTAGTTCAGCAAAATACTATCAAATACTGATTCTGTAAATTTGTAAAAGATTTTATACTTTTATTTTATTGATTTTATTGATTGTTAGAGTTTTTGTTTTATTTTTATTAGTCTAGCTATTGTTCACTTAACTTGTGCCGTGTGTTCCTCTTTCCTACTGTTCTATAACTTGTGATGCAACACTGAAATTTCCCAACTGTAGGACGAATTAAGGATCTCTTAATCTTAATCTTACTATCTTCTGTGTAAGAAAGAGCCCTGTGAGACACTATTTGACTCTTTGGGCTGAGAGCTGATTGGCTGAGTGAGGGTGGTCCTCTCTTTTAACATCAAGACATAGTGAGATTTTAGTTTCAGTTTTCCAGGTTTGAAAGTTACGTACCTCAGCTTTAAGCCTTTACCTAAAGTCATGTACAGTATCTAGAGTTCACTCATGTTTGCATCACTGTGGTTTCTGTTGAACCAGTCTCTGATGTCGTCACGGTGATTTGACAAAAACACGTGACTCCAGACCTTGAACATGTTATTCACATGTTGTGTTGTTGTTAGGCGTGTTCTGTAGGCGTGTGTACATTACTGTACTCTAGGATTCACCCCCGGGCTATCTCTCTCTCTCTCTCTTTCTCTCTCTCTCTCTCTCTAGGCATGTGAACCTTCCTGCACTCCAGGATTCACCCCCGGGCTCTCTCTCTCTCTCTCTGGGCTCTGTTTAAAGACAGGACCTGAAGGAGAAACTATGATGAAGATATACAAGTAAGTCATTTCAATAGTAGTTGTAGAAGTAGATTATTGTCTTCGGGCCTGATGTACATTAGTTCAGTTGAGTTTATTCTTATTCAGAAAATCACACAATATCGCATTAAATTTCAGGTCACACGTTTTCAAAGATCATATAAGAAAAAAAAAGCGAAAATTGTATATTAAGAATTTTGGTTCTAAGTAGTTGAAACTGTGTGTATTCAATAAAATGTATTGAGTTGAATGTCAGCTCTAAATCTGGATCACAAGAGCAGTCGTCTTGGAGGAGTTTACACACTTTACAAAGTACAAATCAAACAGTTCAAACACAGGAAATGAAAAAATATCAAACATGTAGGAGCCATTGGTCCAAAGGGAGCAGGATGATCTGGGTCCAGAGACCTCTCCTGCATCAGCGAAGAACCACTCAAAAAATACAGTGGGAAAAAAGTCAGAAACTTTGGGGAGGGATCCACTCTCACAGACGGATGGACTGTAGACCCAGGACTGAGGCTGTAGATCCAGGACTGAGGCTGTAGACTCAGGACTGAGGCTGTAGATCCAGGACTGAGGCTGTAGACCCAGGACTGAGACTGTGTAGACCCAGGACTGAGGCTGTAGACCCAGGACTGAGGCTGTAGACCCAGGACTGAGGCTGTAGACCCAGGACTGAGGCTGTAGATCCAGGACTGAGGCTGTGTAGATCCAGGACTGAGGCTGTAGATCCAGGACTGAGGCTGTGGATCCAGGACTGAGACTGTGTAGATCCAGGACTGAGGCTGTAGATCCAGGACTGAGGCTGTGGATCCAGGACTGAGACTGTGTAGATCCAGGACTGAGGCTGTAGATCCAGGACTGAGGCTGTGGATCAAGGACTGAGACTGTGTAGATCCAGGACTGAGGCTGTAGATCCAGAGAGAGAAACAAGAGATAGACCAGAGGGACCAGAGTGAGACTAGAGAGAGTCCAAAGAGACCGGAGTGAGACAAAAGAAAGTCCAAAGAGAGCCAAAAGAGACCAGAGAAAGACCAGAGAGAGACCCAAAGGACCAGATGGAAAACACAAGTGGTCCACATGAGGCTGGGCGGAGCTTAGTGAGAGTGGGAGGAGCTCGGTGTGTGATTGACAGAACATAAACAGAACAGAATAGTGTGAAACCAAAACAAACGAGAGGAGCACTAGGGTTATCAGCGCTCACATGAGTCAGATGTTTTTGGGGCGGAACTGTCAACAATGACACAGACACGCAGGACCAGCCTCAACTCCAGACTCAAACCTGTCCAACCTGCAGCACCAGGAGAGCCCAGAGAGAGAGCAGACAGACTGGAGACACCTGTGAGGATGCTGCGGTCTCTCCTGCTCCTCGGCCTCTGCTTCACCACAGGTACGTGTTACTGTATACAGGAGTCGTGGGTTAAAGCTGGGGTACCTAACTTTTCTGCTTACATAACATAGATCAAAATAGACACTCTTTCATAACTCAGAAAGAGTTTTGTAAAAGTAAAATGTTGTGAACCAATCAAATCAAACCCTAACCTTCTAGAATTGTTTTTTTCCTTCTCTGTCTGGTCTCTCTCACTGGCCTCTTTCTGTCATGTCTCTCTCTCTCTGGTCTCTCCATCTGGTCTCTCTCTAGTTTCTCTCTAGTCTCTCTCTAGTCTCTCTTTCTGGATCCTCTCTCTCTCTGGTCTCTCTTTTTTCTCTCTCTAGTCTCTCTGTCTGGATTCTCTCTCTCTCTGGTTTCTCTGTTCTCACTCTGGTCTTCTCTTTTTCAACTTTTTGTCTGAAAAGGCCAATCTAAAGTTGTGACAGAGGCCAAACATAGATAGTGAGAGAAACCAACTGAGCCAGAAACAATGTTTATACCTATAGTTTTATTCCATAGTTCCATTGCTGTGCTTTGAAAGTTACGTACCCCAGCTTTAATGTTTGTTCTCCCTCTTCTCTTCAGCTCGGAGCCTCGACTGTTACGTCTGCAGCTCCACCTCCACGAATGAAGCGTGTAACCAGAACACACAGCAGTGCCAGGCCGTCCACGACACATGCATGACCACCGTCGACATCCTGGGTAACCATGGCAACGCAACACACAATCAAAAACATTACATATGCGAATTATGTGTGCGTTCATGCGAGAACAAAGAGAGAGGAGAGAGACAAAAGAGAGAGACCAGAGAGACAAGAGAGAGACCAGAGAGACAAGAGAGAGGCCAGAGAGGCCAGAGAGACCAGAGAGACAAGAGAGAGACAAGAGAGAGACAAGAGAGAGACAAGAGAGAGACAAGAGAGAGACCAGAGAGAGACAAGAGAGAGACAAGAGAGAGACAAGAGAGAGACAAGAGAGAGACAAGAGAGAGACAAGAGAGAGACAAGAGAGAGACAAGAGAGAGACCAGAGAGACAAGAGAGAGACCAGAGAGACGAGAGAGACCAGAGAGACAAGAGAGAGACCAGAGAGACAAGAGAGAGAGCGAAGACACGAGAGAGAAAGAGAGAGAGAGCCAGACCATAGAGGGGCGAGAGATGTGCATGTATTTGTATGTTTGTGTATGTGTCTGTGTGTGTGTCTGTATGTGTGTATGTGTGTGTATTTATGTGTTTGTGTCTGTGTGTGTGTGTATGTGTCTGTATATGCGTCTGTGTGTATTTATGTGTCTGCGTTTGTGTGTATTTATGTCTGTATGTGTGTCTGTGTGTGAGTGTATTTGTGTGTGTCTGTCTGTGTGTGTCTCTCTGAGTGTCTGTTTCTGTCTGTGTGTGTGTGTATGTGTCTATCTGTGTGTCTGTATGTGTGTGTGTCTATGTGTATCGATGTGTCTGTGTATTAATGTGTCTGTACGTGTCAGTGTATTGATGTGTCTGTATGTGTATGTGTGTCAGTGTATTGATGTGTGTGTCTGTGTGTAACAGGTTCTGCCAAGGCCATAGTGAAGCAGTGCTCGAGTAAAGCCACGTGTAACGGCGCCGCGGCCTCGGCCTCCACAGACGCCAACGGGAACGGGAACATCGTCACCTGCTGCAGCGCCTTCAACCTGTGCAACTTCAGCGGAGCGGACTCCCTGGGTCCTAGAGCCTGCTTCGTGCTCCTGCTGCCCCTGCTGCTGCTGCTCACATGACACAGTTTTGAATCCATTTCTGTCCAATCCACATGTTTTCTAAGTTCAAATCATAATGAGGTGATAAACTTCTTCTCTGACGCTGAGCTGAAATCTCCATCCCCCAATTCTCAATGACGTGTGTTGCCCTTTAACATCTGTGACAGCTAAGAGACTTTTGTGGTAGTTATGGATGAGGCTCTTCGTCCTCTCTGGTCTCTCTCTGATCTTTCTCTGGACTCTCTCTGGTCTCTCTCTAAACTCTCTGGTCTCCGTCTGGTCTCTCTCTGGTCCCTCTCTTTAAGCCTGGTTCACACGAGACGATTTTAAAATCCCCCCCCCGAAGATTCACAGATCAGACGAAAATCTCAGGTCTCGCGAGATCAAGCGTGACTTCAGAGTAAACACACATGGCGGACGAAGAGGATGCATTGGCGATAGTTTGTTTTTATCGGAGAAAAGACGTAATCAAAAGAAAAGGCGATGGTCAAAGAAGTGTAGACAACACGAGCATGGACTATACTTGCTACATCGTGATATGGAGGCGTTTCCTCACCGCCTCGTCTCGTCTTCTGATTGGCTACACGCCGCAGTCATGGCAACGCGCACGTCTGTCCTCGGGGGACACCACACACGAAGAGAAATCGGGCCAAAACAATCCAACATGTTGGATATCCCCGATTTGAGATCGGGAGCAGTCCCGATGTCCTTCCGAGCGACGAGTGCAGTCTTAACACACCACACACGGCAGGATAATCTGTAAGATTTTGTTACGGAAATCGGAGCGTTTCTTAAGATTGTCGTAAGGGGTAAATCGGGTCTAAATCGGCCTAAATATCCTGCCGTGTGAACCAGGCTTAAGTCTCTTTTTGGTCTCTCACTGGTCTCTCTCTCTCTGGTCTCTCTCTGGTCTCTCTAAACTATCTGGTCTCTGTCTGGTCTCTCTGGTCTCTCTCTGGTCTCTCTAAACTATCTGGTCTCTATCTGGTCTCTCTCTGGTCTCTATCTGGTCTCTATCTGGTCTCTATCTGGTCTCTCTCTGGTCTCTCTCTGGTCTCTCTCTGGTCTCTCTCTGGTCTCTATCTGGTCTCTATCTGGTCTCTCTCTGGTCTACAGTATCTCTAGACTCTCTCTGGTCTTTCTCTGGTCTCTCTGTGCTTCTTCTGGGCAAAAAGCCTGCAGTTCTTGTAAATTCCTGGGCTGTTTTGCATGAATTACAAGAGCCCCCCCACCCCAAAAGAAATGCATTTAAAAACAGGTTTATTTGACGATACTGTGCATTCACTTTTTGAACCATTTATAATCTCCAAAATGTGAAAAAACAGCTTTTCATTCATGAAGGCGACACTAAAGCTGCTGACGTGACACAGAGACGAAACCTAGAAGAACGTGTGTGAATATGTTGAATATTTATAATTTAAACATCGACCAAAATATTTTAATTTTAACATCGACCAAAATATGAATAAAAACATGAAACTTTGATTGTTTTTATTTTCTTTTTATGTTGGTAATGTTTTTGAAATATGAGATAATTTAAGATAAACTATATGGATGCACATGTTCGATGGAGAAAGACCACCGGCTCTACTTGGGTTTTTTTTAAGAAGAGAAGGTGAGATAACGACAACATATATCCAGTCATTTTTGGTTCAAGGTTTGTTTATAGCTATTTCAAAACACCATTTCAGTCAAAGTCAGAAGTTTATCATTCATTTCAAAGTTCCTGCGGTGGAAACGGGGCTCTGGATGTGGATTCCACTGAAATGATTGACGACCTTTGGGACAAAGACTCAGAATCTCTACATCTCTAACTTCATTCAAAAAGCTGCATGTTGTTATGACATCGTTATGACATCGTTATGACATCGTTATGACATCGTTCAACAAGTTCAGGGGAAATGTTTTCACACAGTAAATCTGTGTGAAAACAGAACCCAGCACTGGGTCCAAAACATTGTGTGGTTTTTCCGCTCAATTCCTGTGTTTTTCATCTGCTGGGCCCCATGGCTCAATAGTTCATCATAAAAAGGCAGTGATTTGAGAAGAAAATAAAAACCTGATCATGAGCCCCCAAGTAGAAAGACCAGACCCGAAAGAACCATGTACCATGTGAAGTTCTAGGATTTTGGGGCCAATTATGAACATAAATGTCACTTAACAAATTCTTTGTTTTCTTGAATTGACTGTGATGTCACACGGAGAGTCATTCAGGCTCACACAGTGAAGAGTCTGTGTCTGTGCTATCTGCAGTGTTGTGCGTGAACGAGTTCAAAAGAACGCGTTCATTGAACACGCTCATTTTTTCGTGAACGTTGAACTGAACGCAACACATTTTTTTAAAAAGAACTTGAACGTGAATTAGTTCATTTTATGTGTCATGAACGGCAGACATCACTATGAACGTTGGAATCTGTTTTCTCTTTTGAAACACAACGAGAGAAAGTGCCTCCCTCCTGCATTCTCGCACTTTTTCCGCCAAAATCCAAAAATTCCTACGGTTTCCACCGTCTGTGAACGCACCCCGACTCTGTGTTGCGGCGCTGTGAGCTGATGCTTTTCACATGTGCCCGAGTCGTGATGAAAACACAGGGTGAGTTAGCGACAAAGTTTACACCGTTTACATTTGACTTAAAGTATAGACACACGCACTGCAGCGCATTACTGTCTGTAGTTTATGAGCAGAGATGGGACAACTCCGTTTGGCTCCCATTGAAAACCATGTAAATCTTGTCTGTTTTGTAGTCAAAAGGCTCTCCTCCTGTGGGTGTACAGGACATATATATATATATATACCTCCTATATATATATATATATATATATATATATATATAGCTCGTAGTGTGAAAAAAAAGTATTTATTTGACTATTTCACAAAAAATAGTAAAATGAACTGAACTTTGAACTAGTTCAGAATTACAAATGTGAACTTTGAACGTGAACTGTTCACTTTGAGCATGTATGAACTGAACTAGTTCAGAAAAGCTGTGAACTGGCACAACACTGGCTATCTGTAATACTATATTTTAAATATTTTTCTAAATGCAAAGTAGTCTTGGGTGTTTCCAGAAAACATGAGCTGGTGTAAAACTGTGTACATGTATTTGAAGATCTGGTAGATTCTTCTGCGACGCATTCCATTGGAAGACGACTCTGTGATTGACTCAGGGACAGTTCACCATAAAATAAACCCAGGAAGTGCCCTGCTCCAGACAGTGAGGACCGCCTTACAGATGCAGCGTCTGTGTCTGTCGTCCTCTCATGCTGCGCTGTGAAGGACCATGTTTCAAAAGCTTCTTGCAGCGAAACCTTCTGAGGTTTCTGTAACATCGAGGTGAGAATCAGCTCCAAATCCAAGGCCATGGTGCTCGACCGGAAAAAAAAGTGCCTTCCTCAAGTGGAGGAGTTCAAGTATCTCGGGTCTGGTTCACAAGTGTGCAGCGTGTGCAGTGATGCGGTCGCTGTATTGGGCCGTTGTATCGGGCCGTTGTATCGGACCTTTGTATCGGACCGTTGTATCGGGCCGTTGTATCGGGCCGTTGTATCGGGCCGTTGTATCGGGCCGTTGTATCGGACCTTTGTATCGGACCTTTGTATCGGACCGTTGTATCGGGCCGTTGTATCGGGCCGTTGTATCGGACCTTTGTATCGGACCTTTGTATCGGACCGTTGTATCGGGCCGTTGTATCGGGCCGTTGTATCGGGCCGTTGTATCGGGCCGTTGTATCGGGCCGTTGTATCGGGCCGTTGTATCGGGCCGTTGTATCGGATTGTTGTATCGGACGTTGTATCGGATCGTTGTATCGGACCGTTGTATCGGATTGTTGTATCGGACCGTTGTATCGGGCCGTTGTATCGGGCCGTTGTATCGGATTGTTGTATCGGACCGTTGTATCGGACCGTTGTATCGGACCGTTGTATCGGGCCGTTGTATCGGGCCGTTGTATCGGGCCGTTGTATCGGGCCGTTGTATCGGGCCGTTGTATCGGGCCGTTGTATCGGGCCGTTGTATCGGGCCGTTGTATCGGGCCGTTGTATCGGGCCGTTGTATCGGGCCGTTGTATCGGGCCGTTGTATCGGGCCGTTGTATCGGGCCGTTGTATCGGACCGTTGTATCGGGCCGTTGTATCGGACCGTTGTATCGGGCCGTTGTATCGGGCCGTTGTATCGGGCCGTTGTATCGGGCCGTTGTATCGGGCCGTTGTATCGGGCCGTTGTATCGGACCGTTGTATCGGACCGTTGTATCGGACGGTTGTATCGGACCGTTGTATCGGACGGTTGTATCGGACCGTTGTATCGGATTGTTGTATCGGACCATTGTATCGGACCGTTGTGGTAAAGAAGGAGCTGAGCCGAAAGACAAAGCTCTGGATTTACCGGTCAATCTTCATTCCCTCCCTCACCTATGGTCATGAGGGAGCAGCGTCTGCAGTCAGAGCTCCCTCACCTATGGTCATGAGGGAGCAGCGTCTGCAGTCAGAGCTCCCTCACCTATGGTCATGAACTTTGGGTAATGACCGAAAGAACGAGATCGCGGATACAAGCGGTCGAAATGAGCTTCCTCCGCAGAGTGGCTGGGCACGTGTGTTAGTGTTAGTATAAGTTTGGTGAAAGGGGAACTGGAAAAGATTAGTCAGGGCAGGGAGGAGGAGGAAGAGGACAAAGATGAGGTCTAGGAGGACGAGGAAATGGAAGAGGACAAAGTGGAGGAGGAGTTGTCACATTTACTTTTCTCATTCACCTGGAGTTCTCATTTTTACAGCGTCAAATAAAAAAGCTGTGCACAGACATATTTCATTTTCACTTTATTTCGTTGCCTTTTCTCCTTTGGGTCGTGGGGTCAGTCCGAAGCCCAGAGAGAAAATAAAAACCAGTGTTTACAAGTGACGACTTCTGTACAGTTCAAACACAACAACAGCTTTCACACAACAGAGGGACCGTTGGCCCCGGGATCACCAGTGCAGACCGGAGAGAAGAGCCACGGGGACTGGGATCGCAAACCCCGCTTCTGCTTGTAATC